AGCAGAGGACATTGGTAAAACCTCACTGCTGCATCTGTCCTAGACTCCCCTTGGTCCTTTCTGCCCCCAGCAGTTGGTCCCTCAGGATCTCTCTAGCCTGTCCCACTGGCCCTGTTTCCTTCCCTCCTCACTTCTTTCCCAACCTTTTCTGACACATATTCATTCAACCTGAGGCTGGCAGAGAGTTCTAGACAGGTTCCACAGTGCCAGAGGTCTTGGTCACCAAACTCTGTGACACCCAAGGAACACCCAGTCTCTGGGTCCCTGTTTGGGTGATTTGTTCACCTTTTAACCACTTTGGGGATTTGGGGCCCAGAACCATGGGGGATCTGAGAGCCCAGCAGCCAGGCAGTGAATTGAAACCCCAGGAGCTGGGAACATAGCTCAGTTGGTAAAGTGCTTGCCTAGCATACATGAGACCCAGCGTCCCTTTCTTAGCACCATATAAACCAAGCATAATGGTATATGCCTGTAATCCCAGTTCTCAGGAGGTTGGGGGGAGGAAGATCAGAAGCAACTTTGATGCCAGTGTGAACTACATGAGACCCTGTCTAAAAACAAAACCAAAAATCTACAACTTGGTTCCCTGGCTGACCTGACTTCTCCCCTGCCAGAGCTTGATCTGATGGTGTCAGGAAACCTCCCAACTACCACAGTAAATGAGAAAAGCAAGGCTGTAGAACAGTACGGGAGGCCAGGGGACAACATAGCTCATGTGCTTATGTACAAGGATCCAGGAAAGCTTGGAATACACGAGAATATAAGAAATGGCCACTGATGGTGTAAAAGCTGGGCGCACAGGTGAACGTAGGCAGGGGAAACAAGGCTCCTCCATAGGTGCCTTTTATATTTTGATTTTGAACCCTAGTATAACATAGCAAGGATTCAAACTGCAAAAATTAAATTTAAACAAACGAGGTAAAATAGCAGATAATAATCATGATCATTATGTATACCTCAATAATGACAGTGTGGAGTGACTGACCCATGTCCTAAGAATTAGCCCCATGTCACTTCATCTTCGACGTGGAAACCAATATGCTGTTACCAATAACAACAGCAATAGCCATTGGTACCTGGAATTGGAGTCATCTACGAGCTAGAGACAGGGCCAAGCGAGCTATAAACATCACCCCTGAGTCAGCATTCTGACTTTCTCAGGAAGTTATCGCAGACCCACTGTACAGATGGGGAAACTGAGCCTCATCAAAGTTTTGACTGGTGCATTGTCAAACTTGGATCCACATTAAGGCATTTCAAGCGCCCACACTTCCATTACAGTGGATCTCAATTGTGACTGCACATGAGACTTCTCTGGGAATTTTGGAAAAGTGCTAATGCTAGGGCTGGAGAGATGGCTCAGTGGTGAAGAGCACTGGCTGCTCTTGCAGTGGACCCGGGTTTGATTCCTGTGGCAGCTAACACCCATCTATAACTCTAGTTGGGGAATCCGACGCCTTCTTCTGACCTCCATGGACATGGCATGACACCATGACATGAGTGCACTTACACACATGCAGGCAATACACTCATGCACACAAAAATAAATAAATAAAATTTAAAAGAAAAAAAAGTACCACCGGGTGTTGTGGTACACACCTTTAATCCCAGCATTTGGGAGGCAGAGGCAGATGGATCTCTGTGAGTTGGAGGCCAATCTGGTATACATAGTGAGTTCCAGGCCAGCTGGGGCGAAAGAAAGAAAGAAAGAAAGAAAGAAAGAAAGAAAGAAAGAAAGAAAGACAGAAAGAAAGAAAGAAAGACAGAAAGAAAGAAAGAAAGACAGAAAGAAAGAAAGAAAGACAGAAAGAAAGAAAGAAAGACAGAAAGAAAGAAAGAAAGACAGAAAGAAAGAAAGAAAGACAGAAAGAAAGAAAGAAAGACAGAAAGAAAGAAAGAAAGAAAGAAAGAAAGAAAGAAGGAAGGAAGGAAGGAAAGAAAGAAAAAGTACCAATGCCTAGTGCCACTCATCTGACTCCAAGATTTGTTCTGTTTTTTTGTTTGTTTGTTGTTTTGAGCCAGGGTCTCACTACACAGCTCAGTCTGGCCTTCAACTCACTGTCATATAGCCCAAGTTGCCCTGGAACTCCTGGTCCTCCTGCCTCAGCCTTCCAAGCGCTGTGATCACAGGTATATGCTACCATGCTTGTCTGGCTGTCCAGCCCCAAGATTTGATCATTGGTCTGTGATCATTGGTCTGGGAATCTTTTATCTCTCTCTCTCTCTCTCTCCCTCTCTTTTTTCTGTTACTGGGGATTGAAATCTAGGGCCTTATACATCCTAAGCAAGCATGCTACCACTGAGCTATACTCTAGCATAAGCAGCTCCTTTTGGAGACAGGGCCTTACTATATAGGCCTGACTGGCCCAGAACTTGCTATGGAGACCAGGCTAGCCTTGAACTCACAGAGATCTACCTGTTTCTGTCTCCCAAGTGCTAGGATTAAAGGCATGCACCATCACGCCCACCCTTAGCACAAGTGTCTTTAAAGATCCAGATGTAAAGTAATTTTTGAAGATCCCAGATGATGCTAATTTACTATGCAGACTGAATTTATGCTTGGTTTCCCAAATGAGAAAATAAGACCCAGGAGGAAAATGACCTCACCCAGGGTCACACAGCTAGAAGCAAAGCTGGGACAGGGTGCCCAGTAACTTACATGGAACCTCTGTTCAAATAAGGAACAGGCATCCTCTCTGAACAGACAAAGCCCTGGGGCTTTGGAAAAGGACTGGACTTCCACACCCTCCATCTCCAAATCAGCCTTCTTGGCTGGGCCTTTTGTGCAGCATGTACAGCTCTATACAGTGATCCGGGCCTGCCTCAGAGATTCCAGAATACTTTATTCTGATGACCTAAGACAAATCCCTGGGGCCCCTCAGAACAGGAGACAGAGAGATTAAGGGTGACTTCTAAATGGCAGACTCCTTCCTTACCCCCAGGACCAGAACCTGGGCTAGCAGGGACTCTCTAGTCAGGTCCCACAAAGGCCAAGGTCACCCCCGCAGATAAAGCCAGAACATAAACAAGAGGACAGCAACACCATCAGTCCAGATGTCACAAGCCACCTGGCAGCAGGCAAACAGCCCACAGGAGGCCCCACCCACAGTGACCCAATCTTCCAGGCTTCTTTCCTGATCATCCACTTCCCAGCCTAGCAGTCAGCATCTCCCACAATGCCCTGCTTTCTGCCCAGAGCAGCTTCTATGCCCTTGTCCTGCTTGGCCTTCACTGAGTACTTACTATGTCTTCAAAGCAGCCCTGGAAGGATAGCACAGCCTGGGGATCAGGAGCACAGGTTCTGAGTCATCTAGGACTGGAGTCCTACATCTTATTTCCTACCAGCTGTGTGAGTTTGGGTACATGATTCTCTGGGCCAGTGGACTTACAAAGTGGTGTTAAAAACACACCTGAATCAGAGCAGTATGGTTCATGAATGATCACCCCACCTCAACACAGCTGTCCACACATTGGCTCTGATTATCAGTGTGCACCTTTGGCACTCATTCGTCCTCATGGCAAACTTAGAAGTTGGGCATTTTCTCAATTTACAGGGGAAGAAACTGAGGCCAGAAGCATCTAGACAGTCAGGACAGGACTCTGTGCTCTGTGTCTTTCTCTAGGGACCTGACACTTCCAGGAACAGGACATAGTCAGGGCCAGGAGGCATCTCTGATTTGGAAGCTCATTCTTCCAGAACCAATCCTCAGAGGGCTGCAGGACACAGGTGACATCCCCTGATCTGGGCTTCTGGTAACTCTCAGGGATCTGTCCACTTCCTTCCAGCCCTAGGAGGGAGAGGAGAACAGCAGAGGCAGAACCCTCTTGCCCTTGATGTCCTTCAACACATCACTCAAGTCCAGAGAGTGCCTGTCATCCCTGTCATCCTCATCCCAGCTGGAGACCCCACATAGCTGCAGTGAGCAGTGACCTGTCATTGGATGGAGGACATCCCCTCTCTGCCTCCATCTCCCAATTCGCTGGGGCTGGGCCAGTACCTTCCCAACTTGAAAATGAAGTACTAAGTTCACATCTAAGAAGACATCATCCCCACCCTTTGAGGAGTCCTGAGAACCCTAGAACCTGGCTTGTAAAGCCCCCTCTTGCATTCTCTCAAAGGTTCTCCTAGCTCAGACATGCAAGCCCAAAGCCACCTTTGCATCCCCCCCCCCCGCCCCTTTGGGATGCTTCCCACTGCCTTTATCTCCCTTTGGTAACAGAGCAAATTTACTCAGGCCCTGGAACCGGGGCACAGGCAGACTGTTGACTCTTGAGCAAAGCCTCCCCTTCGGAGGGCGCAGTGGAGGCTGTTGAAGGTGCGTGGGGAGGCCAGCGGCCTCTTGCATAACCCAGGAGGCCTCCTGCCCACCCCAGCCTTTTCAGGGTTAGGGGTGAGGCAAACCGCAAACTCATGCCCAGTTAATTTTTTAAGGCAAGATCAACAGGCTCAGCAATGATTAGCAGGCAGGTAAGTTCATCTTAATCATAGGGAGGACAGGGAGGGAGGAAGAGGCTGGTGGAGGCCCAGGGATGGGGCCCGGTTATCAGTTAACCACATGAATGTTGTTTCCTTCCAAACTCACTGGCCTTCAGCCCTAGCTCCTCATCTTCCTCTCAGAAATATTTCAGTCATTGAGTGAACCAGTGGCCATCAGTCATTGAACAGACATACAGCCATCCATGGTCTGTTGAATGGGAAGCAATGAAGTCGTCCTTATTAAGACAGTTTACCCACCATTATCAACCAACCTGGAGCAAGTCCCTTCCACCCTCTGGGCCTAGTGAGTGGCTTCTGGTCTTTGACCCAGCTCCCAACCTGCAGCAGTTACCCCTCACTCGAGGGCCTCAGGGTCTCTGTCTGACAAATGGGTGGCTTTGGAAGATGACTTTTCCAGTCCTGAAGTTCTAGAAGGTCTCTATGGTATTGGGCCATGGCGGAATGGGCATGGCTCAGCAGCTCAAGGAGGAGCAAAACAGCCCCAGACAGACAGGGCACCTACCTGGTATCAGTTGTTGGCATCAGCAAGCATCAGATCCCAGCTCCGGGTAGGGATGGTCCTCTCAAATACAGACAGGAATGGGGGCAGGGGGCCCCTGGATGGTGGGCTGGGGCTGCAGGATGGTCTGGCAGATCCCAGCTGCCCAGAATTCCTACCCTCAGGTCTTGGGAGCTGCCAAATGAAATAGCAAGGCCAGGCCAGCGTCAGGCCAGGTGGCTGCCTAGACTGGAGTTTGGTCAGCAGTTGGGGACCTATATTGTGAGATAGTTAGGACTTTGTCCACAAACTGGAATTTGAAATTTCAAAGGGGCGAAGCTGAAGGCCCTACCCCAGAGTAGAGATGGCTCTTGGCTTCTTGCCCCCACGACTTTTGTTCTTTGTCTTGATAAGTGCTGGTTTTCCCTGCGCCACTCCGGGTGGCAGGTGGGGGAGGAAGGAGAGGAGATAGAGATGTGGTGAGCTCCGAGGGGACGCCAAGGCGCCAGGTGGCCCCAGGGTGACTGAATGCCTATAGTTGCCTCTAGACCTGCATGTGGCGTTAGCTACTCTAGCCCGTCTAGCTGTATTCTCATAGGGAAACCAGCTGGAACCAGATCCAACCGCCAAGATTCTGAAGTTCTTCCAGGGACCCCAAGAGTGGGGCAACAGAGAGATGGGGAGGCCCTTGAATCCCACAGTCTTGATCCAAATGATAGCCTCTTTGGTTACATGCTTCATGGTGATGGGCAATGGGACTTTACGTCACTGAGTTTCTCTTTTGTCATTTATAAAGTGAGGATATCTTGGGAATCAGGGAAAATGAGAGTGAAGGTTTTTATATTTTCTACAGCCATTCACTGTTATTATATAGCAGTGGAGTTATATAGGGGTTGGGGATATAGCTCAGTCAGTGGAGTGCTTGTCTAGGATACGTGAAGCCGTGGATTCAATCCTCAGCACTGCATAAACCGGCCACGGTGGCACACACCCGTAGTCCTAGCACACAGTGGAAGCAGGAGGATCAGAAATTCAGTCATCCTTGTCTACGTAGAGAGCATGGGCTACATGAGACTCTGTCTCTAAAAGAAAGATTGACAATGATGTGGTCCACCATGCCAGAGTCCTTCCCTCTGTCCACAGCAGAGATGTGCACTCCCGTCTCATTGCTTAGCTAGCAGCCACCTCTCTGGACCACAAGAATGATCTCTCCTCAAGCCCTCCACCTCCATCTCCAACATGAAGGAGTTGGGCCTCCAGGCAAGCTCGGAGCTCCTCCCTTTTCCTGAAGGCAGCTACCCCTTGAGCTGGGGCATAATATCCCCGTAGGATAGAAGTGAAGAATAACTGCCACACTGATGGTGTCAAGGCCAGAGCACACCCTACCTAGGAGCTCCCTGGAGCAGGGGTCCTGGTTCCCAAAGACTGTGGCCTCTGATTCCAGGAGTCTCCAACCCATGATGGCAATCGCTATTGTTACGCTCTATAGCTTTCCCTGGATCTCTGTGGAAAACATCCTAGGATACGAAAATCCAAATGGATGTGTATAAATATGACCACACACACCCTCCCCTGTATTTTCTCTCATCTCTAGATGATGTAAGTCACCATAGGAATGCTATATAACTAGTTGTCTAGTTTCAGGTTAAATTGGACTAATGACAAGAAAAAAGTCTGTACAGTGGTCAGGCAAGCGGTGCCAATACTACAAGTATTGTAGTCCCAATACTTAGGAAGCTGAGGCAGGAGGATTGCTTGAGTTCAGGAGTTCCAAGGTAGGCTTGGGCAACACAGTAAAGCCCATCTCAAATAAATAACCCCATTTGTACATGTCCAGAAATACGACTACTACTGCTCCTTCCCATCCCCCTTCCTCCTCTTCTTCCTCCTCTTCCTTTTTTCCTTCTTTCTCCTCCACTTCCTCTTCCGTCTCTTTGTCTTCTTTTGGTGTTTTGTGTTTGGTGTATGTGTGGTGCAGGGGCGGGGGGGGTGTGCCCCTGTAGGGCTCAGAGGTTGATGGCAGGTGTTTTCTCTCTGTCACTCTTCACCTTTTTAAAATTTTTTTGGTGACAAGTTCTTTCACCCAATTGGAGCTCATTGATTGGTGAGCCTAGCTGGCCAGCAAGCCCTTGGGATCCTCCTGTCTCCTCCTCATAGCACTGGGATTACAAGCACAGGCCACCATGCCACTTCTTGGTTATGTGGGTGCTGGGCTCCCAATTCAGGTTGTAAAGCAAGTTCTTTACCCACTGAGCTGTCTACCCAGTTCCACTTTTGTTTTTGTTTCTTTTTTATTAAATAATAAAAAATTATTTTGTGGTGTGTGTGTGCGTGTGTATATGTGAGCACGTGGAAGTCAGAGGACAAGGCTTAAGAGTCAGTTCTCTCCTTCTGCTGTGGGCTCCAGGGACTGAACTCAGGTCATCAGGTTTGTGAGGCAAGCATTTTACCTGCTAAGCCATCTTAGTCACCCATTTTGTTGTTTAGACAAGGTTTCATGTATTCCCAGAGTGGCCTTGAAATCCTGATCTTCCTGCCTCCACTTCCCACGTGCTAAGATTACAGGCATGCACAACCACACCCGGCTCAGACAAGGATTTTTTCCCTACATATTTTCCATCCAAGGTTGCAGTCCTTGGATGCAGAGCCTGTGGGTTCAGAGGGCTGACTATACATCCTGGTCACTCACTGCCCACATCATCCCTCTGAGACCAGGATCCACCCCGAGTTCCTGTTGCTGGAGCCAAAGCAGAGACAAGCAGCCTGAGGCAACAGTGTTGTGTAAATTGTGGTGCCTGGGTTTTGACCCGGACCCATCTGACTTCAGGATCTCTGGGGGGAAAAGGCAGTTGAGAGCCTAACAGAATGCTCTCATTCAATATTTCAACAAAACCCCTGCAAGTTAAACCCATTTTACAGACAGGAACACTAGATTCAGATTAGTCTCCCTCAGGCCTCAGGACTAACAGATAAAGGTGACACATCTGTATGAAGAAGGGCTGCCGGGAAGGTGCTACTCAGAGTTGGCCAAAGGTGGAGGGACTCATGAATGAGTGCGATTTATGATTGATGACTGGATAGGTTTGCTGTGGGGTGGGTTGTGATGGGGTGGGGCATGGGTGTGGAGTGTGCTTCATGGACAATTGTGTACCCTGTGCTTTTAGCAGGCCACATACACTGTGGTTTATATACCTTGCAGCAGCTCTTTGTGTGTTGTCTGACCTGTCCCCCTGGTAGTTCTTTCTCTGTACCTGGTGTGTCCAGGCTAACCTTAGTGAATCATAGATCTTATTTAATTGGATATAAATTATCATCTATAAAAAGACCCGTTGTTGTTTTGTTACCTAGTAAAACTCTGACTTGCTAACGAACATGTTTCACTTTTAGAAATGCAGAATTGTGCCTCTCACAGGTGACAAGTCACATGTAGGGCAGATATGCCGAATGCTACAGAGTAGCTGTGGGTGACCTGTCACATGCCTTCCCTTTTCACTCAGCCCAGTACTGCCCCCTGGAATCAGATGTTGTCAGGTAGAGCTGGGAAGTCAACTTCAAGTCTTTGTGGAAACTCAAGGTTGTGGGGAGGCTCTCTCTCCTCCCATTATAATGGAAGGGGGAATTGCCCTGAAAAGAGATATGATTTAACCTAAGCCATCAGAATAGTAGCAGATCCTTTCTATTTTTTAAAGTGTATGTGTGCACGTGTGTGCGCGCGCGCACGTGTGTGTGTGTGTGTGTGTGTGTGTGTGTGTGTGCGTGCATATGCCACTGTGCATGTGGAGGTCAGAGGACAACACTGTGGAGTCGTTTGTCCCCCTCCATCTTTACCTGGATTCCAGGGATTGAATTCCGATCACCAGGTTTACAGGGCAAGCACCTTTACCTACTGAGCCATCTCACCAGCCCCCAGAGGTAGTTTCTAAACTCAGGACCCCTGCCATCAACTCCAGCCTCTTCTCTCCCCTGAAACAATTGCCTCCCATGGTCTCCTCTGCCATCTCAGCTCCAGGGGCAGTATGGAAGTGGCAGAACAAAGCTAAACAGGTTGCTGGTGGTTAGAACAATGAGGTGAGGAGACACATCTACTTGCCCACTCTAACTCACCCATGAATTCATTCATTTACTCTTTCACCTATCCAGGAATTTCATTCATTCCCTCAACTCACCTGGTCTCCTTGCACTTGTCCCTGATTGATTCACTCTCCTCTGTGGCTCATCCTGTTCTTGCTCTGAGTTATTTCTATGCCCTCTGAACTGCCTTTTTGGACAGGCCCTGAGGCCTCCATAGCCTCTGTACTCACACTCTGCCTTTTGTGACTGTCCCTCTGCAGCTAGAGGGGGAGCCTCAAAAGTGTTAGCAGAAGCCAGGTGTGGTGGTGCATGCCTTTAATTCCAGTGCTCAAGAGGCAGACGCAGGTGAATCGCAGCCTGCTCTACATGGTGAGTTCCAGGCTAACCTTACACAGTGAAACCCTTTCTCAAAAAAAGATCAGCAGTTATGAGTACTTGCTTGCAGAGGACCAGGGTTTGGTTCCCATCATCCACATGGTGGCTTACAACCTTCTGTAACTCCAGTTTCATGGGATCTGATGCCCTCTTCTGGCCTCCACTGGCACTGCACACACATGGCATATACATGCTGGCAAAATACTCATGCATAAAATACAAATAAATAATTTTAAGTGTCAGCAGAGAACATGGAAGAGTTTCATAAATTTTAGGACCCAGTCCCAAATAAAAGCACAAGGGAACAGATGCATCCAGGCCCCTGTTCAAACCTCATAAAGGTTCAAGCAATGAAATAAAAATTTAAAGAATTTTTTTTGAGACAAGGTCATTTTGTAGCCCCAGCTAGCCTGGAACTCGTTATACAGACCAGGTTGGCCTCAATCTCATAGAGATCTTCCTGCCTCTGCCTCCTGAGTGCTGGGATTAAAGGCATGCACCACCATACTTGGCCAAAAAATAATAATAATAATAAATATAAATAAATAAATAAATAAATAAAAAGGTTAAAAGAGGATGTAGTGAGCTATAAGCCAAGCACAGGGACTTTCTGAACACAGGGCTTCATGTGGCTATACAGGGTTACACCCATGTAGCCTACCTTGAAGGTAGAAGGTGGCAGAGAGAAACAGGGAAGCAGAAAAGGGGTCGCAAAAGGAAATTAGGTGGCCATAGTGGCACGTGCCTTAATTTGAGTTCTTAGGAGGCTGAGGCAGGAAGATTAAGAATTAAGACAGATGTGGTGGTGTTCATCTTTAATCCCAGTACTCAAGAGACACAGGCAAGTGGATCTCTATGAGATTGAGGCCAGTAGCCTGGAATGGTCTACATAGCAAGGTCTAGTCTCAAACAAAGGAATTAAGAGACCAGCTGGGCTACATGACAAAACAAAATAAAACCAAAAATGTCAGCTTAGAAGAATGACTTATTCAGAGTCACAGTTAGCAGGTGGTAGGCGCCTGAGTGGAAGCCCAGGCCTGTGGGGCTGCAGACCTTGTCTGTGTCTGTCCTGGGAGAGGTGGGGGCTGGGGAAGCAAGCTATGTGACAGGGGACCAGCCTTGGAGTCTGGGACTGGGATAGCTGGGAGTCTTGGGGGCTGGTGGCAAGAACTATCAGATCTATTCGATCATTCTGGGAAGGGACCCAGAGATGAGATGAGTCCTACCCTCACCAGGGAAGGCGGAAAACTGGAAATGAACTAAAAGGGTCTTCCTGAGCAAAGGTCCAAAAGACCTGAGTCTGCACCTGGGATTTAGATTTCCAGTTCATGGGCCAAGAGACAGCTTTATCTCTGCCAGACCACTGAAGATAGAAGTCAATGGTCTGGGAAGTGATTGAATTAGGGTACCTTGAAAGTAGACTTGTCAGTGTCTGAGAGTGTCAGCTAAGATGTCCAGCATGGAGTGACAGTGGCTTGGGGGCAGCTGAGTCAGGGATCCAATGAATGCCATGACTTTTCAACACCTGCCTTGAAAGATTGATAACTGAATATTGGTAAGCTGGGGCCCCAACAGTTGTAATTAGCACCCCAGGTGTCAGTCAGAAACCAACAAACAGCCAAATCCCTGTGGCTCCGCCCAGCCTACCCAGCAGCGGGGGCGATTAACCATTAACCCCCACCCCTCCCCAAAGAGCCTCCACCCTCTGCAGAGGCTAGGCTGAGACGCCAGGCTGAGCCTCCCAGAGGACAGTTTGAAACAGAGGAAGGCAGAGCAGGCACCTGGGAGGAGGTGGAGAAGGCGGGGTTGGGGGGCTGGGGCTCAGGGTGGCATCCTGGGCAGGGCAGGGGGCCTAGGAGTGGGCAGGGGAGAATGCGACTCTCCAAAACCCTTGTCGACATGGATATGGCTGACTACAGTGCTGCTCTGGACCCAGCCTACACCACCCTGGAGTTTGAAAATGTGCAGGTGTTGACCATGGGCAATGGTAGGTAGGGCCAGGTGTGCCCAGGAATGGGAGCGGAGGTTTGGCACTGGACTTTGGGGTGGGAGGAGAAATATAGAAAATGGTAGGTTGGCCCTGTAGGCTGGTGCAGGTGTTGCCAGGTGAAGCAAGTGGATCCAGTATGGTGGCTAGAAGCATCCTGGGTGAGCGAGGCCTGCTGAGGTGGATTTCCAATAAAAGTATATCCTGGGTCCCCTGACTCAGGCCCTGGGATCTCATAGCTATCCTGCTCAGCATGTCACCTACGACAGGGACATGATATGTTCTTCCTCCTTGGAGTTAGCTGCAGGAATTCTACTCTACATGGCGCCCTTTTCCCCCCCCACTCCCCCCCCCCGGGCCTAGACAAGAGCAACACACAGCCATTCTGTCCCTGGAGATGGTAAGAGGATATATAACTGCGTTTTAGCGTCTTTGGGACTTTCCTTGGGGAACTAAGTTTGGAAGGAAAGTGGAATTCTCAGGTTAAACTAGCAGAGAGGCTGACACGACTGTGTGTGTTTGCATGTGTGATCCTGGGTTTGCACATAAGTGTATGTATGGTGGTACACTGTATTGGCAAACGATCACCTACAAGAATACATCTGCATGTTTGGACTTGTTTGTGAGTTTTTTTCATGAGTTCATTTCTTTCTTTTTTTTTTTTTTTTTGGTTTTTTGAAGCAGGGTCTTCCTGTAAGCCCCAGCTGTCCTGGAACTCACTATGTAGACCAGGCTGGCCTTGAACTCATAGAGATCTGCCTGCCTCTGTCTCCCAAGTGCTGGGTCTACAGGCGTGTGCCACCATGCCCGGCTGGGTTCATTTCTTTATGTATGTATTTGTTGAAAGGTCTGTAGTTGTATCTCTGGAGTGCTTTGTGTTTGTCTTGCTGTGTGTACAAGCTATATGTGTCTGTGTGTGATGTGTCTGTAAATGTAGGTCATGGACGTAATATGTATGGTAATATAGACATGTGTGTGTGCCGTGCTTCCTGTCTGGAGGTCCTTGGTAGCATTTTGTGTGTGCACATGTCCATACTCTCTATGTGTTCACAGTTCCTGTGCTGCAGGACAGCGGTCTCTGATGTAAATGATTATGTGGCTCTGTTGTATGGAGACTATTTGTTTTGTTTTTTGATACAGGGTCTTATGTTTCTGACGTTGATCTGAAACTCAGTATATCCCCAGGCTGGCCTGGAATTCTCAGTCTTCCTGCCTCAGCCATCTGAGTACCAGGATTATGTTTGCAGGTTTTTGATGTTGCTATTTACCAAAACTTGAGATTCATATCGGCAGCATGTTCATTTGTCTCTGAGTAGATTTTGTTGCCTGTGTGTGTGTGTGTGTGTGTGTGTGTGTGTGTGTGTGTGACCCAAGGTGCCAACATCTGCTCTGATAGTGCCGAGAATATGCCTGAATTGGGTGATGGTTTCCCTCTGCCAGGAGGTTGGGAAGGCAGGACTCCTGAAACCCAGGAAGCTCCTGGAAGGAGGGGACCTACCAGGCTCCAGGCCAGCCAAGGAGAGATGGCAGCTGACCCAAACCAACTTGCCACCGCCTTCTATCTGTGTCTCTGACTATACAGCAGGTATCAGACTGTAAGTCCAAGGTCTGGAAAGCTGTGGTCAGTCTAACTAGAAAGAGGAGGCAGCATGTGGGTACTGTCCATGGTCAGTCCTCCAGGTGTCTGCCCCTGACATCCCCTGTGATGTCCAGTGTGACCTTGGCCACGTTACCTCCTCTCTTGCCCCTGTGTGGTCTACAAAACGGGTATCTTTACCCCAGCACTGTTGGACAACAGGATGGGCAATCAGAGGAGGTACTCAGGGGAAAACACACTGGAAATGGCAAGCAAGTTGCTTCTACACTGGGTACATGTAACTCCCACCGGGACAGTTTGGGCTATCACACTCCTGGCCACCACACAGCTCCTTCAGAGCCTAGGCGTCTTGTATTCTTTCAGCAGAAGCTAAACCCTTGTCGAGGTGTCCTGAAGGCACATCAGTCACCTCCAGCTTTGGAAAGACCCTTCCTTCCCAGCCTCAGTTTTCTTATCTATAAAATGGGCATGAGTAATAGCACCTGCCTCCAGGGCTAGCTAGAGGATAAGTGAGATAGTGTTTCTGGGTGCTTGCCCTTGTACCTGGTCCTGGCCCCCACATGGGTGGTCTCCAGGACTCTGCACCTGTAGGAAGGGACTACATGCCCTGCTGGTTTAGAGTGGCCTAGGAGTTAAGGTTATATGGGATTGTTCTCCAAAGTGTTTGGGGTCCATCCTGAGGTAATGACTTCTATATGCTAAGATATTTGCTCCCACCCTCCATCCACAATTCAGACGTAGCAGAGGCGGGGGGTCTTGTTTCTTAAAGTCCCCACAAACACTCAGGCATAAGCTGCACAGTCAGAGCACAGCACACCATCCAAGACACCCAGCTCCTCTGCTTGGCAGTACTGTAATGATACCGGACTAGCCCCTTGTCTTCTCTGAGCCTCAATGTACTCACCTGGAGAATGGAAGTGGCCTGCTGGCCTCAGAGAGAGAAGACCCACCTGTCTGTGCCCAACCCATGTTGCCCAGGAGGGCGACACCTTGCCAGCTTCTGCCGGAGTTGCAGGGTCAGCTCTCCCTGGGGGTCGGGGAGGAGAGGGTGAGGGAGAAAGGGCACCAATGAAGTTTAACGATTATCCCCGCCTTGGGAATAATTCACCAGATGGAGGGGGCTCCACTTCAAGCATTCAGGAGTCCCAGGAAGGGTTCAGCCAGGAGAAAGCAGAAATGAGGAGCCACATGCTGTGTGCACTGCTATAAGTCACCTGCTGAGAATGTTCTCTTCTGCAGATCTAGAATTTACTGTATGCCAAGCATTTCCCACAGACAGGCTCACAGAAGCCTAAGCAGGGCCTCAGGGGATTACTATACTCCCCACTTTACAAGTGGGGGAGACAAAGGCATGAAGCAAAATAACACAACCAGGGATTTGACCCCATGCACAGGGCTTCAGAATCTGAGCTCTCTACACACCACAGGCCTCATCAGCTTGCAACAGGATGTTCCCTTAGGAATCCAAGGTCAGATGCAGAGTTTCTATGGAAGCACATGTGTCTATGGGAGCTGTGTGTGCATGTGCTTTGGGGATATGATTATAGACTTCATTATCTCGGATGGACTTGGTTTTTAAGACAAGGCCTTCTGTTGCCCAGGCTGACCTCGAACTCACTATGTAGCCACAGCTGGCCTTGAATGCCTAATCCTCCTGCCTGCACTTCCCAAGTACTATGATTACAGACATGTGCCACAATGCCTGATTTTTTGAAGGGTTTATCTGTGATGGAACACTTGCTTTTTAGAAAAAGAGGGATCCTCTGATGAAATTTTATTTTAATTTAAAAACAACCAAATCAGTTAAACTGTTCCCTTTTGTAGTCAGGGAAACTGAGACCAGGGGAAATTATAGCTAGGAAAAGAAACTGGCTAAAGGTCACTTGCAAGGTAGGGGCAACATCTGTACAAGTGGCCAGGACCCTTGGCACCCAAGCCAAAACCTCTTTTACCAGAGGTCTTGATTATGCCCTCTTCACATTGGCATTGGCTTTTGCCTGGAATCAGAGGGCATCATTGCTCAGAAAGACCCTCATCAGCACCTACCCGAGAGGCAAAGGAGAGAGTCTGTGCATGGGAGGGTCTATGGACAGCCTGAGGACCAAGCTGAGCCCCTTCTGGCCCTGTGCCCTGGTTAGGAGAATGTTCTGGGGTGAGACCACAGTCTGTAAATGACTGTAGCTAAGTGATAGCCAGGCTTCCACTCCTTCCTTACAAAACTGGGGCCAGTGGCTTCCTTCCGCAGGGAGAAGCAGGCCTTCACAGATGCCCCAGGAGGTCAGTGGCACAACTGATTTATAGATGGAAAATTGAGGCTCCAAAATACCGTGCAACATTGTGGGAAGAAAAATGGAGGGGACACAGCCCCCAGCACTGGAAAGCTCCTTACAAGTCCCAGGCTTATCTCTTCCCCCTTTGAGCCTCACTTTTTCTCTTTTGGCCCAGACACATCCCCGTCTGAAGGTGCCAACCTCAATGCTCCCAACAGCCTGGGTGTCAGTGCCCTGTGCGCCATCTGTGGGGACCGGGCCACAGGCAAACACTATGGAGCCTCAAGCTGTGATGGCTGCAAGGGTTTCTTCCGGAGGAGCGTGAGGAAGAACCACATGTACTCCTGCAGGTGAGCGGTTGACTTCCTCAGTACAGGGAGTTATTTGTGTTCATGTCCCCCAGGGTCCATTTGAGGCACTAGCCTTTCCAGACCTTCATGGCTCTTCGGTTTCTTAAGACTTGTGGGCCCAAGTGAAAACAGTTACTCTAGCAACCCCATTCACGAACCATAGAGAGGATAGGATCTGCCCTGTAACCTACTGCTTTTTCTGGGTTAAACAGGAGATTGGCCTTAAGTCTTTCCACCTATCCCAGCGGCCTCCCAGAATTTTGAAGAGCCCTCTTTCCAAACCAATGCTGGAAGTTTGGATAACATCAGTGAAATAATAGTAGCTGTTGACTGAGCACTTGTTGTATGCCAAGCTCCATCCCTGTAGCATCTCAGGCACCTGCCAGCATTCCTCTCAGGAGGTCACAATTATTATCCTCATTTTGTAGATGAGGGAGCTGTAGCTGGGAGAACTAAGAATTTCCCTGAGGTCAAGTAGCTCAGCCGAATGGTAGCGCCAGGGTTGAACCTCAGCCCCCTGCCTTCCCTCATAACCTTACCTCTTACCTCTTATGGACCAACCACTGACCCTAAGTCATAATCAGCAGCTGATACTGGCTCTGAGCTCTCATAGGATATGATGGAAATAGCAGTACTTTGGTCCTTAAGAATCTAAGGTTCCCAACCCAACTAGACTGCCAACCAGCTGAGTGACTAACGCCACATGTCACCCTTCTGGGCTTCAGTTTCCTCGTGTTAGGTTTGACAAGTTGGATTTTCAGACAGTCTCTAGACCTCTCTGGCTTCTAATTTCTTAGCATGAGAACTGCTGGGGTGCAGAGATAGAGCAAGGAGATTGGGGGTTGATTGATGGCCAGGATCCTCATTCCATCTTAAGAGGGGGAGGCTGTGTCTTCTCCATCCAACCATCTGAAGTCCTCCACAGGTTTAGCCGGCAGTGCGTGGTGGACAAAGATAAGAGGAACCAGTGCCGCTACTGCAGGCTCAAGAAGTGCTTCCGGGCTGGCATGAAGAAGGAAGGTGAGCCTCGGCCCTCCTTATACCCCTGCCCCACCTGCACCCAGGCTCCAACCAACCCGGCATTTACAACTGCAGCCACATTTATGACTGGGTGACAGGCCCCAGGGTGACTGGCTAATGGCTGAGAGAAGGAAGGGCCTAGAAATCTGACCACAGGGAGCGGCTGGGCTGGGTCTTGAGAAAGATTCAGAGATAAGCTCTCACTCACTCACTTCGGCTCCCAGCAACTGCCACTGGGCCTGCCCATACCATTATGCGGTGGCCAAGATGGATGCTTTTCTGCATGCCACACAGCAAGTATTACGAAAAGTGCAGAATACCACATAGTGAATGTCCGAGACCTGCTTCCTAGACTTCACAAATGGAAACACTTGGGGTCCTATTCTTGGACTTTTGGTCCAAGGACAAGCATCCCAATTCCCTCAGTCCTCCCTCATACTTGGGCACCAGATGATCCCCAGAGCTTTTCTTTTCCAGACATGGGGACAAAGCCTCAGACCCATCCTGGATGGAGCAGGAAAGAGCAGAACCTAATGTCTTCTAAGTCTTCCCCAGGCCTCCTGCTGCCACCAGACACAGAGCAGCGAGCTGGCTCCTCCAAACCCCACCTCCGTGCCTCAGCTCATATCATTCCCAGGAAAGGTCTATGTGGCTGGAATGATTACTGTCCTCCCTTCATGGTGGAGGGGACTGAGGCCCATAGTGGTGAATCACCATGGCCCGTCAGTAGAAGCACAGAGATTCCACTGACTTCATGCTGTTTAGACACCTCAGTGCTGCCTACACTATGTCCTCAGGACCCTATTGAAGAACTGTTTTCATAGGTTAGGGATGTGACACAGTGGTAGGGCCATTGCTTGACATACACAGGCCCTGGGTTCCATCTTGGCACTATGGGGGTTGGCAGGGGAGACTTGTTTCCCCACTCTAGCTAAGACGACAAAACTCTTTGAACTGCTGTTCTAAATAACTTGAGTTTATTTTCAAATCTCTTCCCAGCTGACACTCACTACCAGCCCACATTGTGCTCTTCTGAGCAGACCCTACATCCCCATGAACATGGGTACACACACACACACACACACACACACACACACACACACACACATTAAGAACCCAGGACCCAGCCCATCCTAAACTGAGTGAGGACAGCCTTCCTGCCTCTCTCTGCCCTCCCATCCTACTGAACTAGTTTTTTTTCTGCCCGCACTGCACAAGGGTCTTCTGTGCATCATCCCATCCTTTTATAGGGCCTCATTGGGAGCTCAGGAGCTCTGTAGGAAAATGAGAACCTGAGGCTCCTGCTCCAAACGCCTCATTCTAGCAGACCTCTGCTTCTGTGATGGTGAGGGATGTTTTTGAAGGCCCATGCCTCCCTCATTCCCCGCTTACTGCTTTATGGGCATAAGACCCCCCTGGGTTAACCTCACCTTCTTATTGAAGACATCTTTGTGGAATGGGATTGCAGTGCATGTTGTAGGCATTGCAGACGTGATCAAAAACTGTTGTCTAAGGGCCTCATGTTCTATAGTTCTGATAATGGTGGTTCTGTTACCCCAGTAGCCTAAGATTCTAACTAAGCACAATGACTACCCTTGAGGGCACTGAGTTTGAGAATGAATTTCTCCAATAGAACTCTCAGCAGGTGGAGCGGAGTGAGCAGTGGACCTGGGCAGATGACTACCGAGTCAGGCTATGTGTGGTCAGTCCTTATGTCTTTTGTTAAACAGCCAGAGTTTCTGAGGAAACTTGAGGGAAGCTCCAGTCCCTTGGGCTCCAGTTTTCCCTTGTATACTGTGAAGGGGTTAGATAATGAGCTACAGAGCTCGTAGTGGTCCCAGATCCCAGCTCCTGGGAAGACAGGATTCTCATCCTGAGTACTCTTAGTTCAGCCTGGAAAGGAACTGCTTGCTTCTTGGTCTAGGAAATGAACTTTTCACAGGAAAGCAGAAGAGTCACTGATGGAGAGTCCTGTAGGCCAGTAAATGCTCATGTGTGTTTTGTTGGGAGATTGGGAGATACTTTTGGTCACTTTGAGAGTGGGCCTGGGGAGTAAAGCATTTTAAGCCACCATGGGCAAGCCCTAGGAAGTCAGGCTATTACAGTCCCCAGCTCTCTCCATAGCCTGATGGAAAGCTCTCAAAGCCACATTGATCAGGAGACCGGGTACAAGTTCTTATTATTTCCTTTTCAACCCCTCCTGCAGATACAGTTAGTGACTGAAAGCCTCAAGTTCTTGGGGACCAGAAAATATGAGCTGGAAACAGTGTTTATAGACCAACAGGAGCTAGCAGAGGGAATTAGCAGATCTACCCCTACTTCACAAGTGGAGAAACTGAGGCAAGAGAGGCCATATGATGGGTCGGAGATGGAGTGGGGTCTAGAACCCAAACCTGTCAGAAACAAGCAGACCCTAAGCTCTCTGGCTGAAATTTGGAAAGATTTGTTTGGGAGGGTCCTGGGTTCCTGAAACTTCCTGGCATCAGCAGGGAAGAGCTCCAGATGTCACAGGCCTATGAGTCCTGGTTGGAGGGTGTACCATGGATGCCACCAGGGCCTTCTCTGGAGGGGCAAAGACTCGGGGTGGAAGAGATCTGGGGATCAATGAGAAAACAATAGGCAGATTCCATCCTGTAACAGAGTTCAGGGAAAGAGACACCTGCCTAGCCTTGGTTGTCAAGTCCAGAACAAATGTCCAGCCCCTGGCAGCAGAGACCCAGGCCAGGGAATGGGACCAAGAAGTTCAAGAACTGGGCCCATCCCATAGGACCTTCCTCACAAGCCTAGCTCAGCCCCCAGGCCCCACCCTAGGTTTTCTAGAAAGACAGGCTCATGTCCTCTGCGCCTCTGCCCTGTCAGTTAATATTCAATGGAAGTTACATTAGGTCTCCGACCCTGCTAATACTGCGCAAACATTGGGAAAACATCATTCCGTGACTGAGCTCGCGCCGGGCACTGATAAGGCCAGGTTAACCTTGAGGAGCCCTATCCGCAGCTGCTGACAGCAGCCTTTCATTCCACCGGCCTCCCACAGTGGTGGCCCAGTGGGGGCAGGCGTCAGAAAGGCCTGACTGCTAGGGAAGCGTGCAGCAGCAAGCCGGCACAGTAAGAGCAGTAGAGGAACTTCCACAGCGCAGGGTCCCTGTTGTGCCTATTGACTGACTTCTGTTTCTGGTTTTCCGGCTCTTTTTTTTTTTTTTTTTTTTTTTTTTTTTTAAAATTTTTTTTTTTTTTTTTTTTTTGTCTTTTTGAAGCAGGGTCTCCCTGTAGCCCCAGCTGCCCTGAAACTCACTATGTAGACCAGGCTGGCCTTGAACTCACAGAGATTGGCCTGCCTCTGCCTCCCAAGTGCTGGGATTAAAGGCGTGTGCCACCACGCCTGGCTTCTGACTCCCTTTTAAAAAGATTTGTCTTTGCTATCTTTATATGTATGTGTGTAGTTTATCTACACTTGAGTGCAGATACCTGTGGAGGCCAGAAGAGGGGTCCCCTGGAACTGATGCTACAGGCAGTTGTAAGCCACCTTACATGGGTGCTAGGAACCCAACTCAGGTTCTCTGCAAGAGCTGTATGTGTTCTTAGAACCACTGAGCCATCTCTCCAGCCCCTAAGGTTTCACTCTTTTGCCCAGGCCTGGAACTCACTCTGTAACCCAAGCTGGCCTGTCTTTCTGCCCTCAGCCTCCCAAGTGCTGGGATCAGAGGCATGAGCCACCACACCCAGCTCTAGACTGGCTTTTATCCTCGGATATCAACAGTCTGAAATCAAGAAGAAGTTGAAGGGTAGGATGTGAACGTTCCATGTGCAAATCAGATGGTGTCGCATCCAGCACCTCCCATCCCTCCACAAATATTTACTGAGCACCTACTGCGTGCCAGGCTGTATTCTAGGTGCCAGGATAACAGTGAGCAAGAGGGAAGAAGCTTTGACTTTCTGGCACTCTGGAGATAGAGAATAAAGAAATTAGCAAAGAATGGCATAATGAACACCTTAGAGAAATTTAAAACAGGAAGAGCAGCCAGAGCCTGAGGGACACAGTGCTGTGCCCCAGGTGGCTGGAGATGGTGTCTGAGATGGTGACATTTCTATAGAGACTAGAAAGAAGGGACTAGAAGGAAGGGACAAAGCTGCTAGACCCTGGTGGGAAGGGACATGCAAGCTGTGGGACTGGCCAGGCAAATACCCTTGAGTGTATATGGCCTGTGGCCTGTGTGGATGTCCAGATGTAGGGAGAGGCAGGTGTGGTGGGATAGACTGTGTGAGAGGGGGACAGTAATTCCTGAGGAGTTATGAGATGGTGGTGTCCATTGTGAACAGGATATGACCCATGATTGGATGTGTTTAGAGGGATCTCTAGGTCTTCGAATAGGAGCTTAGCCTGAAAGGGTAAGGCCAGGAGCGTCAAAGGCCTCAAGGCCTCAAGGAGGGCCTGGTCCAGTAAGGGAAGAACATGCAGGGGGCAGGTGTGTGTGTGTGTGTGTGTGTGTGTGTGTGTGTGTGTGTGTATGCATGCGATTATACAGGGGCAGATAAGGGCCTAATGTGTGATAGCTACTGAGAGCAGGCTGCTGGGAGCCAGTGAGGGCCAGAGATCAAGAGAGACAGAGACAGACAGACAGAGACAGAGAAACAAAGAGAACAAAAGAGAAGGGACCACCTTACCAGTTTCTGAGATGGGGGTATGCAGGGGACAGGCTGATGGGGAGAGAGGCTTTGGTCAGATGAGGAGACAGAGGCCCCAGACAAGATACTGCCACCAACACAAAGTAAAAAGTAAACTTTAGACCAGAGCCCAGGTGCTTGCAGCCTTGCCCTGTCACCTTCCTGCTTCCATAGTGAGGAGCCTTGGACTCCAGGGGATGATGGGACAATGTCTCAGGCCTGAACTAACTCAGCTTCAGGTGGATGGTGGACTGGGGTGTCTTTGCATTCTGGAGATGCCCAGTGCTGGCAGGAGGGAGGGCCCCCTGGCCTGCTATTGCAGGTTAGTCTAGAGCAGGATTCCTCCTAGTGGACAGTCCGCCAGGCAGCTGGATCTGCAGGTCTCCATCCAGGGCTTCTGCCTGGTGGTCTGGAATCTCCACCTTACCTCAGTGTCACCAGGAGGAACTTGTTTTGTTGGTTTGGAAGGAGAGGAAATGCTTGCAGTAGCCCTTGTGGATCTGTGGTCTGGGCAGGTCCCCCCATACTACTCAGACCCTGGTCTATCTTCTGCTGGGTTGGAACTAACATGACCAACTGATGCTGGAGGGACAATGTCTAGCCCCTCCTTCAGCTTCTTCATTGTGTGGGGTGTGGGGAGAGGTAAAGCTCTGGTATCCTTTGAGCTCTACAAACTGAGTTAGACAATCCCGCATGCAGGCTAGAAAGATGACTCAGCAGGTAAAGGTAACTGCCACCCAGCCTGACAACCTGAGTTCCATCCCTGGGACCCACATGGTAGGAGGAGAAAACGGACTCCTGCAAGTCGTCCCCTGACCTCCACACCCACACCGTGGCACATGCATACATGAACACACATACACACACACACACACACATACACACACACACAGACACACACACACACACACACCGCCTCACGCACATACATACACACACACACACACACACACACACACACACACACACACACACACACACACACACACACACACACACACACACACACACACACAAAGAAACTATAATAAATGTTCCACTTGTTTCAGTGTGTCCTTCATTCTGGGCCCTGCCTTAGGTTGAGCTCTCTCCTCTCCCTAACTCCTCAATGGTCATGGGATAGCCTCTTCCCCTCGTTGCTCCTCCTCACTTGCTTTGCTTCCTCACAGCTGTCCAAAACGAGCGGGACCGGATCAGCACGCGGAGGTCAAGCTACGAGGATAGCAGCCTGCCTTCCATCAATGCGCTCTTGCAGGCTGAGGTCCTGTCCCAGCAGGTACCAGGGGACCTTCTCACCCATCTGGGCTCTACCACACTACCAAGGAAACTTACTTCTTCCACCTCTACTTCCTCTAGCCAGACCCTGGAGCCCCAGATGGAAAGGGCCACAGGGACACTGAGTACAGTGCCACACAGCTGGTGTTGTAGGCGGCAGAACTTGAACCCAGGTCTGGCATTCTGGGCCACTGTCTAGTTCATCACAGAAGGCCAAACAGATTGCTCTGAGGGCCTGAGAGTAGTCCAGTAGAACAGTAGACCACTGGGACAAAGTCATAGTGCCTCCCTGGGCTGTGGTGGTTTTATCTATGCAATGAGGGTGAGGAATATTACTCTGCTTCTCCTCTAGGGGTTAGGGATTCCTGAGGCTCAGGGGAGCTGGAAGAGCAGGCAGGGCAGGGCAAGCAGCAGGTGGAGATCCAAACAGAGAGCTTTCCCCGTATCAGAGTCTTCCCTGCCCCTTTGCTTAGAGCTTCCTCCAGACCCAGCTGAACACACAGTCCAGCTGCCACCAGACAGGGAGACTTTCTAGGGAATGGGCTCTGGGCAAATGACAGGATGTGTAGGGAGGCCCGCCACCCCCAGCATTTCCTGGTCTCTGGCAGATCACCTCCCCTGTCTCTGGAATGAACGGCGACATTCGGGCAAAGAAGATTGCCAACATTGCAGACGTGTGCGAATCCATGAAGGAGCAGCTGCTGGTTCTGGTCGAGTGGGCCAAGTACATCCCGGCTTTCTGTGAGCTCCCCTTGGACGACCAGGTAAGAGCACACTTCCACTGGGATCAATGGTGGACACTGGGCTGCCAGGGTCCTGCTGACCCACTGAAGATCCAGCCTTGGGCTGGTTTGATTTTATTCAGTGAAACACATACCAATCATGTACACCCAGAACTATTTAAGTCACCTTACAAATATTAACTCACTTAATCCCTCTAAGAACTATGAAATGGGCAATTTTCCCATCCTACAAGTGAGGAAACTGGGGCACAGAGAGGTTAAGTAACTTGTTAAAGGTCACACAGCTCCTATCTAACACAGCTGGGATTAGAACCAGCCAGGAAGCTCCAAAGTTCAGGCTCCTAACCGCTGCCTCACTCAGCACTCCTGGGGATGTTGACAGGGACCTGAGGCCAGGTATCAGGAGATTTGGCTTAAGTTCTGGCTCTAAGACCAGTTCTCTGAGTGATCCTGGACAAACTACTTCTCTCTGAGGCTCAGTGTTCTTATCTGCCAAGTGGGAATTACCTACTTCCTAGTGTTGTTAGGAGGACCAAGGACATTCTAGTTTGAAAGCAGAGAGCTGTGTAGCAGAGCGGTTTTAGCTGGACCACAGCGGTCCTCCGCAGTGCCAGATTTCTTCCTTGTGTCCACCATGATGGTTGTCAGCATTTTGTATTCCAAAGTGCCTTCTCTGGTCCAGGGAGAGATAGGGCTGGGGGAGGAGGGTGGTGCGTGACTGTGGATGGATAAATATCTGAGATGATGCCTATCATCTCACACACCCACTCAGCCTCTGCAAGCATCTTTCCGGCCTAGACAAGGAAGAAAAGACAGGACAGCTTTATACCACTGAGGGTACTGGCCCTTTGCACATGAATCTGATAATGCTAGGTCTCTTAAAGCTTGGATGAAGTCATATGCACCCCCCCCCCAAGTTGTTCCTCTTTGCAGAGTCCAGGCCTTCCCAAGCCTCTGTAAATACCAGTAAGAAAGCTACGGGGCATGCTAGGCAAACACTGGCTTGGTTGCTCCTTGGCCTCTTCCTGGGGCTAAACCCTGAATGCATCCCTCCTTTAGGAGAGTTGACAGACAGGGATCTTGTCCAAGCTGCTCCCATCTTCTCCTGTTCCTCTTCATTTTGTGGCCCCTGTCCCTCTGCTGGAGAGCCTGCATTAATGTTTAATCCCCCCTGTTCCTTCCCAGGAACGTAGCAGGGCAACAAGATACCCCCAAGCCGAGCAATTGTTAACCTCAATTTCCCACCCAAACCTCCCTGGCTGGGGCTCAGAGCATTCTCTGAGAGCAGTGATGGGTGGCCAGTAACACAGGCCAATCATTAACATTCCCTTGCCTGCCCGCCCCCCAGCATGGCTGCCATGTCTAAGGGTTCGACCTGGGAATCCATTCCCAGGAGCCCATATTGCCCAGCATGGGTGGGGCCACCAGGGAGATTCGGGGAGTGACCTTCCAAAGGACTCATGTTTCCCTTCTGTTGACATCGCTGCAAGAACCAGCTTTTATTACAGCTGGTCATCCATCCCTTGGACCTAGAAGGCTGGGCTAGACTGGACAAGGAGATCGAGGCCTAGAGAGAAACAGAGCCCAGAGCAAGTTGACCACAAAGCTGGGAGCTGACTCTGGGCTCTGCAAGTCTGAGGGTCACAGGGCTGATGGTCGAGAGCCCCACAGTGTCTGCTGGGTAGATTGCTCAGTTATCAGCACTTTCTGCTTCCCTTGGTACCTGCCGTGGAAAGTGGCTGCTCACCTCCAAGCTCTCTTGCTCTTTGTTTTTCAGTCTGTCTCACGGGTCCCAGCCATGGTAGGGTGGAAAGAGGTCTTGACAGGTGGCTGTCCAGGAGAGGGCGGATCTGGAGAGGGAGTCAGGGTGCTGCCCGGGTTCTCCTACCTTTATTCATTCTTTCCTTCACTTATCTGAAGATCTACTGCATGTTTACTGTGTGCTAGGCCTATTCAGCAAGTTGCCTACTTAGAGACCTGCCTTGAGCTCCTATCAAATCAGCCATTCCTGTCTGTATCACATAGCTCTCTCTCTCTCTCTCTCTCTCTCTCTCCCTTTCTCTCTCCTCTCTCTCCCTCTCTCTCCCTTCTTCCTACTGCAGCACCATCACCCTCTGCCCTACTTCCTTGTTTTCTACTTTATTTATTGTCAGTTCTCCCTCACCCTCATAGCCTGTGAGGTCTATGAGCCTAGAGACCATTGTGCCGTCACATTGTCTAGGAGGAGCGCAAGATGGCTCACCACGTAAAGGCACTTGCTGCCAAGCTTGATGACCTGAGTTCAATTCCCAGGACCCACATGATAGAAGGAGAAAACCAACCCTTGCAAGATGTCCTCTGACTTCCACATATGCACCATGGCACTAAAATAAATAAAATGTAATAATAAATTTTTAAAATGGCACTTCATGGGCACCTAACATTTGATAATGGAACACACAAGCAAGCTTCCCATTGTGCACACGTATCCCTGGGGTCACCAGCCTGTTGCTGTTCTTTCCAGCTCATCTTTGGTCTCCACACAAGCACGAAGGCTGATGGCTCAAAAGCACTGACAGTGTCCTATGAGCCAGCTGGACTTGACCTTGGACTTCAGTCTTCACAGGCTGCTAGGCAGAGACAGGGCCTGGCGTCAGATTTCCTGCCATGCCTGTACCTTGGGGAGAATCCATTCCAAGGGCCGACATCCACATCCAAGCACATACAGCACTCTCTTAGAGTCCCAAAATTTGGCAGTATGACACTGGGACTTTCAGCACCAGTGACTCCCAGACTCAATGGAGCTTTGGAATCAACTGGGAAGCTTGTTGTGTGCAGAGCCCCAGGCCCACCTCATACATACAGAATCAGCAACTGGTAGCTGGGCCCAAGACTCTGAGTTTCCATAAAGTACCTTTCACAGTTCCCTGCGACTGGCCCATGGGTAGGAATTTTAGAACCCCTGGGGTAAGTTGAGGCTTTTTGAGACGCCAATGAATGCCTTTGGGTCTTTTGTCTAAGGGGTACACAGCGGATGTGTCTGACACCCCAATGAGGTCAGGGAGCAGTTTATTTCCTAAAGACACACAGTTCAAGGGCTGAATGTGCAAACAGTCCTCCAGCTCAGAGACTACATGCCTCCTCCTTCCAGGTCTCAGAACCCTTTCCAGGTCCCTTATTTCATCAGTTATGGGAGGAAGGCAGCAATTTTATGGTACTCATTTCAGAGTTCAAGCAAGTAGACAGAGGGAGCACAGAGCTGAATCACCAAGGTTGACTAGGAGCAGCCTTCCACGGATGCTGGACCTCCTCCCTTCTCTCTTCCAGGTGGCCCTGCTCAGAGCCCATGCTGGTGAGCACCTGCTGCTGGGAGCCACCAAGAGATCCATGGTGTTCAAAGACGTGTTGCTCCTAGGTGAGGAGACCATCCATGCCAGCCAGAGCTTGAGGAGGTTGTGCTTGGCTTGGTGTACTCTAAAGGAAAGGCTATCTCTATAGTGGGACATAGTGGGGCAAGACAGACAGATAGAAAACAGTCCAGTGGGGTTAGAGAGATGGCTCAGCAGGTACGAACACTGGCTGCTCTTCCTGAAGACCTGGATTAAATCCCTAGGACCCTCATGACAACTAATACCCATCTGTAAGTCCATTTCCAGGGGAATCCCATATCCTCCAAGGGCACCAAGCACACGCATGGTACTCTTACATACATGTAAGCAAAGCACTTATACATATAAAATTAAAAAAAAATTTTGGTCTCTTTGAGATAGGATCTCTCTGTAGCCCAGCTGATCTGGAACTCACTATGGAGACCACGCAGGCCTGGAGCTCACAGAGATCCGCCTGCCTCTGCTTGGGATTAAAGGTGTGAACCACCACACCTGGCATAAATTTTTTTAAAAAAAAGAGTCCAAGCAAGATACAGTGGCACAGTCTAGCACTCCCAGTTACTCAGGGAGCAAGGTCAAGACCCGCCTTGGTTACCTAGAGAGTTCAAGGTCAGCCTGGGAAATTTAGCAGGATCCTGTCTCCAACTAAAATAATTTTTTTTTAATTCGGCAACTATGGGCCTGGAAAGATGGCTCAGCAGTTAAGAGCACTGACTGCTCCTGCAGAGGACCCGGGTTTGATTCCCAGCACCTACATGGTGGCTAGAAACCGTCCCTAACTCCAGTTCCAGGGGAATCCAATGCCCTCTTCTGACCTCCGAGGCATTGCACAACATGGTGCACTCATATACATGCAGGCAATACACTCATACACATAAAATAAAAATAATAAATGAAATATTTTTTAAAATTCAGCAACTATCAAGTTGAGGGTGCATTGGCATTTCTTTGGGCCAGAGAGGTGGATCAGTAAGCCTGAGTTCAATCCCTGGGACTCACTTGGTAGAAGACTGCTAACTACTGCAATTTGTCCTCTAACTTCCATATACATTCCATAGCATGTGCTGCCCCCTCATCAATAAATAAATAAAGAAAATGTAATTTAAAACTTTTTAAGAGAGGGCTGGTGGTATAGTTCCATGATAGAGCCTGTAACAAGACCTTGGGTTCAATCCCCAGCACCACAAAAAATAAAAATAAAAACAAAATCCAGCCTTGTTCTTGGGCTTGCCAGTGCAGGACTCCAGGACCCAGTTCATTAGAGCAGGGTTAGTTGTCCCTGGATTCGTGCACCCTGAAGTTCTTTCTGCAGCAAGAGCAAGAAGTGACCAGGAATGGCACAGCTCCCCAGCCCATGTCACCTGGACTTTTAGGACATACTTATCATTTGAAATGCTTGTATAAAACACCTCATACATCAAAGACTATGCTAACCACCAGGCAAATGTTTACAATCTCTTTCAATACATCAATCTTAAGAGGGATGCTGTTAGTTTTTCCCATTTTATAGATGAGAAAACTGAGGCACAGAGCAGTTGAGTGCTACCCAAACATACCTAGCCATAAACGACAGAATCTTTTAACTGGGGTGATCAAACTCCAAAATCTTGACCTTGATGCTTTTGTGCCTCCCAAGTGGGTCTCTACTGTCTATCTTGAGTCATGCAAGTAAAGGGAGTCTGGTGAGTACGAAAGGGCTCCTAAAAAACCAAGCTCCTAACTCTGCCCATGACTTCAGGTACTCACCTGCTTCATCCTGGCCTCAGATTTCTGATCTGTAAAATGAACATAGTGGTCCCTGCAGCTCCTCCCATGGGTACCGACACATTCCAACTGCAAACGACTGCCAGGGGGAGGGGCCAACCAACCTAACGGCCCCATCCTCTCTCCTCCACTCATCCAGGCAATGACTACATCATCCCTCGGCACTGCCCAGAGCTGGCAGAGATGAGCCGGGTGTCCGTTCGCATCCTTGATGAGCTGGTCCTGCCCTTCCAGGAGCTGCAGATTGATGACAATGAGTATGCCTGCCTCAAAGCCATCATCTTCTTCGACCCAGGTACTGTTCACACCTCTAGCCATCCCTCACACCCCAGATCCACTGTCACACTCTTGTTGGAATCATAACCTCTTGTATCATCACAGCAACCCAGAAGTCATTTTCATCAGCCCCACTGAGTAGATGAGGCAAACCATGGTTCTGAGGGAGGATAGGGCTGGTCAAGGCACCCAACTGCAAAAGCCTGGGTTTGGCTTTTCCTCCTTCTTGCCTTCTTTTCTTTCATCTTTGCTATTTTTCCTCAAAACGTTCTATGGAGGTAATACCAGCACATCCTGAAGATGCCATAGTTCTCCCCATCATTGGCATTTTCCCAGCCAACTTCTACTCCCCGGAGGAACATTTCACAACAAACTGCCACATCTTATATTTTGTGCTGGCAGCTGAGACCAGAGCTAATATCTACTCCTGAGCTGCAACCCTAGCGCCATATTTCTTTCTTTGTTGTTTTGAGACAGTCTCACTGTGCAACTCTGGCTGGTCTAGAACTCTTTATGTAGCCTATGTTGGCTTTGAACTTGCAGTGATCCTGTTGTTCTGCCTCCTGAGTGCTGGATTTACAGACTCAAAAATCCCCCACAGTTCTTAGTTTTCAGTAATGAACATTGTTGGTGATGTCTTCTACCCCTCCCTTGTTGGAATGAAGATGCTGCATCCCTTCGTTCTGGCTCTCTCTGTCCTCTCCTGTGATTCTAAGATGCTGCATCTCTTCATTCTGGCTCTCTCTGTCCTCTCCTGTGATTCTAAGATGCTGCATCTCTTCATTCTGGCTCTCTCTGTCCTCTCCTGTGATTCTAAGATGCTGCATCTCTTCATTCTGGCTCTCTCTGTCCTCTCCTGTGATTCTAAGATGCTGCATCTCTTCATTCTGGCTCTCTCTGTCCTCTCCTGTGATTCTAAGATGCTGCATCTCTTCATTCTGGCTCTCTCTGTCCTCTCCTGTGATTCTAAGATGCTGCATCTCTTCATTCTGGCTCTCTCTGTCCTCTCCTGTGATTCTAAGATGCTGCATCTCTTCATTCTGGCTCTCTCTGTCCTCTCCTGTGATTCTAAGATGCTGCATCTCTTCATTCTGGCTCTCTCTGTCCTCTCCTGTGATTCTAAGATGCTGCATCTCTTCATTCTGGCTCTCTCTGTCCTCTCCTGTGATTCTAAGATGCTGCATCTCTTCATTCTGGCTCTCTCTGTCCTCTCCTGTGATTCTAAGATGCTGCATCTCTTCATTCTGGCTCTCTCTGTCCTCTCCTGTGATTCTAAGATGCTGCATCTCTTCATTCTGGCTCTCTCTGTCCTCTCCTGTGATTCTAAGATGCTGCATCTCTTCATTCTGGCTCTCTCTGTCCTCTCCTGTGATTCTAAGATGCTGCATCTCTTCATTCTGGCTCTCTCTGTCCTCTCCTGTGATTCTAAGATGCTGCATCTCTTCATTCTGGCTCTCTCTGTCCTCTCCTGTGATTCTAAGATGCTGCATCTCTTCATTCTGGCTCTCTCTGTCCTCTCCTGTGATTCTAAGATGCTGCATCTCTTCATTCTGGCTCTCTCTGTCCTCTCCTGTGATTCTAAGATGCTGCATCCCCTACATTCTGACTCTCTGTCCTCTCCCTGTGATTCTAAGATGCTGCATCCCTTCGTTCTGGCTCTCTCTGTCCTCTCCCTGTGATTCTAAGATGCTGCATCCCCTACATTCTGACTCTCTGTCCTCTCCCTGTGATTCTAAGATGCTGCATCCCCTTCATTCTGGCTCTCTCTGTCCCCTCCCTGTGATTCTACTGACTTTTGTTCGTGCATTTGCACAGAATACCTGTAGTCTTGTCTGTGCAAAGCCTGCTTTCAGTGCTCAATATGAAGGTGCTTTTCTCCGAAGCTCGCTTTCTTGTTTCCCTCCCCAACTGTAGAGTGTGGGCCTGCTAGGCGCTGTCCTTGGTGCTAGTCCTTATCTGCACAGAGAACGCCTCTGGTAATAATAGCGAAGAGGAAAACAATCGCCATTTATTGAGGGCTCACAGGTGCACAGTTTTAAAATACTTCATGCGTATTATCTTACAACATGACATCTGTGAGGTAGGAATTGTCGTTACCCCATTTTCAAATGAAGAAGCAGAGGCACAGAGAGATTGGTTGACTTGACCACAATCACACAACTGGGAAATTTGCAGAGCGTGAATTTGAACTTCAGGCTATCAATTTTTTAACCTGTCATTCAAGTTCACGTTCTTGCCTTCTACGTGCAATTCTCCAGTTCCTAGAGGGTGAGCGCCTAACCTGAGCTCTGTGGCCTACAGGGCAAAGTGTGGGGCTAGGCAGGCAGTAACTTCTCAGTGACGGGTGTGAGATAACTGGCCATGAGGCAGAGTCTCTATAGCTTGGGTGGAGGACAGGGAGCCTAGTCCAAGCGTGGCATGAAATGAGTACTTTATCAAAGTTCGTTGCCTGAATGAAAAAAAGAAAACTGTGTGGGTAGCTCTCTTTTGCTAGGATGGTTAGCTCACTGGAGGAGCTGAAGCTTCTTCTGAGTCCCCAAGGTGACAGGAGGCAGGGAGAAGAGAAGGGGAGACTATCTCGATGTAGCAAGTGCTGAGGTTTAGAAGGTGGGACCTGCACCATGGACCAGGAGCCCCAAGTTCACATCATGGCTCTGCTAGTACCTGGTTACATGACCTTGAGCAAGTCTTTTCTTGATCTATAGTTCCGTTTCTCCAAGCCTGCGATGAGGAGGGACTGAGTTATAGTTCAGTGGTAGAGCATCACCTAGCATGTGCAAGACCCTGCATTTGATCCCCAGCATAGCATAAAGACTTTCAAAAGAGAGCGATGAGGTTATAAGAGGCTCTGTTGTGCTTGGTATCTTATGAAGAAGACAAAACCTTTTTCTTCCTGAGTCCAGGAAGCCCCTGTTTGTGCTAGAGTAGGCTGGCTACTGAGTACCTGAAAGTCTTGTCCCAGAATCAGCCACTAAGCCCCCCAATATGAGCCTACAAGTTGGGGGATGTTTGACCCTGCTGCCTTCCCTGCACACGCTTCCCCCTGCAGATGCCAAAGGGCTGAGCGACCCAGGCAAGATCAAGCGGCTGCGGTCACAGGTGCAGGTGAGCCTGGAAGACTACATCAATGACCGGCAGTATGATTCTCGTGGCCGCTTTGGTGAGCTGCTGCTGCTGCTGCCCACGCTGCAGAGCATCACCTGGCAGATGATCGAGCAGATCCAGTTCATCAAGCTCTTCGGCATGGCCAAGATTGACAATCTGCTGCAGGAGATGCTGCTGGGAGGTTCGTAGCACTGGGGGCCCCTCTCCAGGAGGCAGGGTTCACATGGGACCTGAGTTTGCCTCTCGGCTCCACTGCCTCCTCAGTGGGTACCCTGGGCAAACTGCCTTATCTATTGGGTCTTGGTTTCTCATCAGAAAAATGGAGACAAGAATAGAAGTCCATTTGTTCAGGTCCTGGGGGGCTAGCATGAGCCAGTCAATGTTTTAAGTGCTACAGACTCAATAAAGAACATGATTCTTGTGGGAGCCAATAGAGTGTCATGGGAATAGATTATAACCAAGTGTATAATGAAGAAAGTAAGTATAGATTTTAAAATGGGCAGGTAAGAAGATGGAGAGCCTCTTTAGATGAGCCAGCTAAGAGATACCTCCTTGAAGTGGCGTTTAAGATCAATGGGTGGAAAATATGACATTTTAAAACCTTGGAAAACATTCCAAGCAGAATTAGTTTCAGGTTCTGAGGTTGGGAAGGGGTATGCACCTGAGACAGGGGAGCTAAAAAGAGATAAAAACGGCAACCAGCTAGAAACTAAATCATAAACAGGACTTGACAGGCCAGGATCAGAAATTTGGGATTCATTTAGGAGTGAACCTGTATAATCCTAGCAATTGGGAAGCTAAGGCGGGAGGATCATGAGTTTGAGAGGCAGCCTGGGCTGTATAGTAAGACCTTGGAAAGAAATAAAGAGTGAACAAAAAATTGCATTTTATTCTCTTTGCGACTTCCGTGAAGAGACTGAAAATCAGACTAAAAGTTTAAACAAATCAGTCTAATATTGGGTCAACAGTGAATTTCAGGGGCTGGGGTGACATGGAACCCCAGGAATGTTCCTCCCTCTTATCATTGGAGAGACAGTGGTATCTTAGACTGTGAAATCAGAGCAGACAAAAAAGGGGAGCCTGTCTTGAGGTGGCAAATGTGAGAGAGGATAGGTGAGAGAGAGGTAGCTGGTCAGACTCAGCCCTCCCTCAAACTCAGTCATCTGTTTGAGAAAAAACACAGGAAGTTGCCGATGAGGTGGGGTGTAAACAAAGAGAAGGAGTCAAGGGTCAAGTCTGCACTTTTATTTTGAATGGCAGAAACAATGATGAAATAATTTACTGACAAGGGGAAATACTTGAATCTGGGTTTGGGGTGATGGTCACATGACCAAGAGAGCCATTCTGAACTCAACACAGGAGGTGGATATCCAAGGTAGGTTATCAAGACTTAAAGACACAAGTCTGACAGCAAAGCATGGGAGGACAGGGAGCCCCTGGCTTTCTAACATTTAGAAGTCAGAAGAAGGTATGTCATAGAAAGTTTCAGAACAGACCAGCAGGGAAATGGGAGAAAACCAGGAAGATCCCAGAACCCAATAGAAGAGTGTGTTTTCAGGAGAGTGGGACATGTCATGCTGGTAAATTCTACAGGGGGCGGGGTTGGAGGGAGGGAGGGAGGGAGAGGAAGAGGAAGAAGTCAGGGATTCAGGGAAGGACATGGGGAAAACGGAGGGATATGTCCTGAGAGGCAACATGGAGGGTTTTGGTTCTTGCGTTGAGATCAGTATCAGAGGGTTTTGAGGATGTTAACCAGATTGGGTAGAGGGGGTCACAGAGTAAGTAAGCAATGAGCAAATGGGAAATGACAAAGTGGAGACACAGGAAACAAACCTTGGAAAATATTTCACTGTGAAGGGGAGGTGGGACAGAGCAGAAGTTGGCTGCAAGGGGCTGATTTTAACCATGGACCATGGCATCTTGACTGAACTCATGGAAAAATAAAGATAACACCCCTTAGGGAAAAGTGAGGGGGTTAGTGAACTGACCCCTGACCCCTCAACAGAGCTGAAGAACTTTTCCAGGGAGGGAAAGCAAACATGAAGGATTCCAGACTGGGGTTTTGGAGGTGGTGTGGTTACAGTGCTGGTGGTATGGTGGACGCTAAGGGTTCTCTGCCTCAGCACCGTTGGCATGAGAACTGTATGATTCTTTTCTGTGGAGAGATGGTCCATGTATCATTTAGCTGCATCTCTGGCCTCTACTTATAAGATGACAGTAAAATTTCTCCAAGGGGTCACAACAAAAATGTCCAGAAACTGTCAAATGTCTCCCAAGGGGACACAATTATTCCCAGCTGGGAGCCACCATCCTCATTCTTACAGTGGCCCTGTGACTATGGGCTTGCTGTGAATCAGGTGTCACTGGGGTCAGGATCAGAAGCTGTGGGCTGTTTGCCAGGTAATCTCTCTGGATGCTGATATCTCATTCAGATTGGGATCATAATGGTCTCCATCCTCTAGGATTAAGACAAGGATGAAATTGTGTAGAAAATGGAAAGTGCTGTAGATCAGTACCTACCACATGACAGGTGCTCAGTAATTCTTAGTTATCATTGGGCATGGTGGCATACTCCTGTAATCCCAACACTCAGGAGCTGAGGCAGGAGGATCACAAGTTTGAGGCCAGGGTGGGTTACACGGCAACATCCTCTCTCAAAACAATAATAAATAACCAGTATAATATTAATCCTATTGTTATCCCTGAAATGGATTCTCTTTAGAAATCTATTGCAAGCCTCAAAATTCTATCACTGTCATAGTAATAACCATGGTCCATGACAAAGCCACATTCTAAATAGGATTATCACTCCCTGGCTCATTTTTAGAAAACAGTTGCTGTGTTTCAGACACTTCACTAGGCTTTCAAAGGACAAGGAAGAAAGGGAGGGAGGGAAGGAGAGAGGGAGGGAGGGAGAGAGGAAGGAAGGAAGGAAGGAAGGAAGGAAGGAAGGGAAGGAGGGAAGGAAAGAAGGAAAACTACAGCTTTAACTGTCCTGCTCATAGAGAGAAGTGGTTGTTCCCAATAGTTTAATTACAGAGAGATTACTATGGGAATTCCAGTGAAGGAGAAGTGAGGGGGGCAGTCAGGAAAACTTCCAAAAGGAGGAAATATCTGGGCTGGGAATGTAGCTCAGTTGGTAGAGTGCTTGCCTAGCATAAAACTGGGCCTGGTGGCATATGCCTGTAATCCAAGCACTCAAGAGGTGGAGGCAGGAGGATCAGAAGTTCAAGGTCATCCTTGGTCACATAGTGAGCTTGAGGCCATCCTGAACCCCTGCAAAAAGGAAGAAATCTGAGCAGAGATTTTGGGTTATGGACATGGTCCAGAAAGCATTTCTGAAAACAAGCAGGAAAATAGAGGTGGCACGAAGATGCTCCCCAGTAGGTCAGCTGGGGTCAGCAGAGATGTGGGGGATGAGGCTGAAAGGGGAGCTAGGACCAAATGGTTGAAGAACTTGCATGTCAAAGAGCTTTGTGGCCCATTGATTAAACCTATTTGTTTTACTATACAATCAAAGACATTACTCATCATATCGTATCTGAGCTCAGAGCCCCTTAGAAGCTCCAGGTTTCTTTCAAGTCACTTTTGTTCTTTTGGTCTTCTGGGGCCTCTCAGTACTTTTATGAAACCTAAGGACATGCCTGGTGAGCCCTGTTACTAACCCAGGAATAGATGCTCAAGGGGCTCTGTCACTGTTGATGAGCAGGCTGACACCACACTGGAGAAGATGGTGCCCCAAGGCCATGGTCCTTCTCTCAGACTTTACATCCTAACAGGTGCTTTCTCCATCTACAGGGTCTGCCACTGATGCACCCCATGCCCACCACCCCCTGCACCCTCACCTGATGCAGGAACACATGGGCACCAACGTCATAGCTACCAACACGATGCCCTCTCACCTCAGCAACGGAGAGATGTGTGAGTGGCCCCGACCCAGGGGGCAGGCAGGTGGGCAACCTGGGCTCTACCCTGCAAAGGGTGAGGAGGGGCTTAAGAAAGAAGGCAGGGAAAGGCTGGGTCTAGAAGGTCAAATAGGGAACATGGGTCTCCGTGTTTTAGGGCAGGAAATGAGGGGGTGGGGTTGTTGGCTAAAGCTGTTTATCCAATGAAGCTATTTATTCAGTGAGGTGATAAACAACCTCTAACAAATGAGGCAATTCAGTGGGTGAGGTTACCATTCAGTGAGAATGTTTGTTGTCTGAGAATTCCACTAGACCGTATTTGTCCATTAAGTGAAAGTGTTCTTTGAAATAGGGCATCCCAGCTGAGTAAGGTCATCCATCAGACAGCTGAAAGAGACTGGCAATTAGGTAGGGCTGACCACTGGGCTAGACCATCATCATCTGAGGTAAAATCTCCGATGACTGAGTTTGTCATTGGGCCAAGCTCTTCTAAGACAGGTCACCAAGAGATAAAGTGGCCCACTGAAACACAATGGAGTTCATTGAGTTTTTCCTTTGGGAAAGTTGTCTACTAAATGAGAGTAGCCAGTTGGGTCAAAGTTACTCACCCAACCTGGGATGGGAGTGAGGCCTGTTAGGTTCTGTTACCTCATAAATATTGAAGGAATGGCACCTTTGACCCAGTTATCCTTGGGCATCAACTGTTAGTCTTTCTCCCAAAACACAGTATTCCTGTCACACATCTCCTTGCCTTCAGGAGCAGTCAGAACGGAGCCCTGGTTTAGGAAAATCAGCCCAAGTCTCCATATCAAAGGGTGAATGAATGCATAGGTAGTCGGGCCTCACAGAACTTTTATTTTAGGGTCTGGTACTCCTTAGATGATTGAACCATAACAGAATCTAACTAACAGGGATTAGTTAGAGTCATTCTCTCCTTTTGTGGATGAAATTGTCTCAGCAAGAGGGAAGATGCTTCCCAGGGCTCTTTAGTTATCCCCACAGAGGCTGGAATTTTGAGCGGCTTCTCTTTCTTTCTCCTTTCAGCCGCCCCTGAGACTCCACAGCCCTCACCACCAGGCGGCTCGGGATCCGAGCCCTACAAACTCCTGCCAGGAGCCATCACCACCATTGTCAAACCTCCCTCCGTCATCTCCCAATCAACCATCACCAAGCAAGAAGTCATCTAGCAAGCCGCTGGGGGTCGGGGATTCTGCTGGCTCACCCCAGCCCCCTCAGAGAGCGCCTGGGTACATCTCGGTCACAGCAAGGAAGGTGTGACAGCAGGGCCAGTCCCAGAGCAGCCATGAAAAGGGTGCAGGGCCCAAGGACATGGGCTGAGGGTCACATCCATTGCCACCTTTGACCCTGTGCCTGGAGAGCAGGGCTTTGCCTTGGGGAGACCCCAGCTGGGAAGTCTTCCACTGCCTGGACCACTTTTCTCATGCTGGAGCCACTACCTTCATCTTCATGTCTTCTCTCAACTTCCTTATCCTCAAAGGACAACCATCTACAGATGATACAGGACATTGTTTAAACATAGCTCCCTTCTCCCCTAGCTGGGGCTTCTTTCTTGGTGCCAGTCATGGGGGTCCAGACACAAAGCTTCTGAGGCTGCCGTCAGCTTGCAGTGTGGTATTCCTCTCTCTGCTGTGCTCACCTCAGCTGATCCTCTGCCCCATCCTCTATGTTACCTTCCTCAGTCAATCTGACTTCTCCAAAGTCATCTCTCTGGAGGCTGAGGAAGACATGGCAGCCATTTCCCCATCTATCCTGAGCACCTTCTGTAAGCACTGATCTGGGCTTAGCAGAGGGTAGGAGGCCTCATCCCACATCACACCCCATCCTTTCCTCCTGCACTGGGTTTTAACTTTGGAGTGATGAGCCCTATGGCTTTCACTCACAGAGAATCATCCAGGAGTGGCAATTTCAACAGAGCACTGAGGGGGGCGGGGAATCATCAGAGAAAACATCTAGAAAGAGGAAGGCTCAGCGTCTAGCTTTCGAAGAAGGCCTAGGCTTCAGGCTGACAGAGCAGGAAGACAGACCAGTCTGAGGGACAGTAGCCTGGGCAAAAGCTCAGCAATAAGAATGGCGTGGGAGAGATGTGATGATAAGACCAGTCTCCATGGAGGGGTGGGGGGAACATGCTGGGGAATATGGAACCTTGAATGCTAAACTGAGGTCAGGAGTGGCTGTAGTATGAGGCTGTCAGAAGATGGATACGGCATCCTGCAGAGGTAGGACAGCTGAGAGGGAGCAATGAGGCCATACTGGGTGATGATGTAATGCTGGGGTCTGGGAATGAGAGGAAGGGATGGGAGGATCCTAGGTCAGAGTTCCCCATAGGGCCTGTCTCAGCTCTTCCTATTCCCGGGTGCTGTCATAAGGCACTCAACATCTGTCATCTCGTTGAATCTTTCCTGTTGCCTAGACATTGCTACAGAAGATGAAATGGAGTTCTACGAGGTTAAGGGACCTTTCATCTTAAATTCATACAGCTAGTCAGTGGCCAAGTCAGGTATGAGCCCAGTCTTTCTGGATTAGAGTAGGAGATTCTAACCACCACCTTGGAAACTCTTGTCTTTCCTGCGATGGAATTCAAAGACTTCCTGATCCTTCACCAGCCTCAGACCCAGAGGCTCGCTCTTTCCAGAACCAATTGACTGGAGGTTGTTCCAAAGCCCTCTAGAGGTCAAGAATCCTGCTTGCTGATAAACAGTAAAGTGTATTCACAACTCCTGACCCCTTTCCCTCTTTGCTCCTCAAGTCTAGGTGGGGTGCAACAGGGATGTGGTTCCTGGGAGAAAGACTAGTCTAGCCTGGCAGTCTAGGGTTGAGACAGTTTGGGTGAGGGGCAGGAAAGGGATAAGAAGGCCTGGGTTTCAGGCTTGCTCTAGGGAGCGACATTCAAGGTCCATCCTGGAAATACTAATCCTGAGGAGCCAATGCTTTATCCTGCTGACTCTCCATAGCTTTAGGGAGACTCAGGAAAATGCCACTGACCAGTGGGGCTGGTGGTATGATTAGCGAGAAGAGAGAACTTCTAGACCGAATACCTATATGTTCCATCAAAGCCGACCATTCTGAGTGGATGGGGCCAGTACCTCAGCATCCATAGATTCCACCCTTAGTGATAGATCTTTGCAAAAGAGATGTGGAATATTGGGGGCATCTACTTAAGAGGTGCCCCTGCATCCCAGGGCTGTAAGGATTGGTCTACTCTCCCCACCCCACCCCTATTCACCACACTAAGTCCTGGGTCCCAGAAGAGACTTTTCCATACTTAGAACTCTCAAGCTTTCTTTTAGCCACCCTCACTCCAGTACCCTCAGAGGTCCCAGCCAGATGGTTCAGACTGCTCTGCATGAGGCAGGAAAGCTGGAGTGGCATTCCCACTCTTTGTCCCTCCATCCCCAGTGATGTTCATGGAAAGAGTGGGCAACAGTGGCCATAAATGATAGCAGTCTTCTGGGGCAGGGTCAGTCCTCGTCCCTAACTGTCCTTCAGGAGAAATCCATTCCACTTTAATAACTTTATTGCAATGTAGGAAACACGAAATAAAGACAAGTTTACTCTTCTGAGTCTGACTAAGCTGAGGACACTACTGGAATTGTTTCTTCTGAGTTTTGGTCCTAGACATAAAACACAATGGACTAAATACAGGTTGACAAGGGCCAAGGGTGGGTACTATAATTCTTTCACCAAGACCCCCCTCCTTTCTTTGAGAAGTTCTCAGAAACTTCCAGAATTCACAAGACTCTCCTGAGAGTAGACACAAGAGAAGGGAAGATTAGAAATGAATGTCCCTCAATTTCTTGTGATAACCAAGCCCTTTGCCTTTGCCAGAATTCTTTGTGATCTGCTCTGGTAAAATTCACATCAAGCAATCCTGAAGGTGGGCTGCATCCCATCAGACCAACCTGCACCTTCTGGTGGGTGTGCAAACGTCACGGGGTCCCACAGCAACCATGAGTCCCCATCACTGCTGCCCAAGGAGGCAAAACAGAAAAAAAAAATCTTTTCTTATTCCTGTGTTTTAGCAAAAGTTTATAAAACAAAATAAATGGCACATATGTTTTCTAAGTCTTTGTACAAGTATCTTTTTTTTCCCTTGGGTTTTAGAATAAGGACAATCTGGAACATTCACAGTGTACAAAAATGCTTTCCAGTTTGGAGAGGTGGCTCAGTAGTTAAAAGCACTGGCTGTTCTTGCAGAAGACCCAGGTTTGAATCCCAGAACCCACACAGCAGCTAACAACCATCCATAACTCCAGTTCCAGGGGATCTGACGTCCTTTTCTGTCCTCTGTGGGCACTGCACGACATGAATGGCCTTACATACATGCAGGCAATACATTCATACACATAAAATAAAAATAAATAAGCCAGGCCTGGTGGTGTATGCCTTTAATCCCAGCATTCATGAGGCAGAGGCAGGTGGATCACTGTGAGTTCAAGGCCAGCCTAGTCTACATAGCAAGCTCCAGGCCAGTTGAGGCTACAGGGAGACCCTGTCTCAAAAAGACAGGGAGGGGAAGAAGACAGGGAGGGGAAAAAGAGAGAGAGAGAGAGAGAGAGAGAGAGAGAGAGAGAGAGAGAGATTGAGAGACTGTAGCTCTGGCTAGTCTGAGGCATCAGGGAGGTGTTTGCCACCATCTCTGTCCCCACCTTGTTTTGAGTTAAGGTCTCTCACTGCCCTGGAGCTCCCTGGTTCAGCTAGCCTGACTGGCCAGCAAGTCCCAGGGATCTGCCTGTCTCCACCTCTTCAGTGCTAAGACTAAAAGCATGTGTCATCACTCCCAGCTTTTTCCCACATGGGTTCTGGGCACATTCACAGGTTCTCATGCTTGTAAGGGAAGCACTTTACCAACTGAGCTGTCTCCCCGCCTCCATCCCTGGCCTCTTGAGTCCAAGCACCAGGTCTATGGGCAGAATGAAAGTTGATCTCCCTCCTAAAGACAGGAGGGATGAGGGAAAGGGTGACGGAAAGATTTGGTTTGGAAAAATGGCTGGAGGTTCCCAGGGGCTATCATCCACCATCAGAATCCAAGATGGAGCCCTTATCCAGGCTACCTTAGCTTTTCAGAACAGGAGATACATAGACAAGTGGGAATTACACAAAAGCAAGAGCTATTTTGAAAAGACAGTGAGGAATGAGATTCTCCAGCCCTGTCTGTCATCATGTTGGTCCTTTCCCCTTAGGTAGGCAGGCTTGAGTCTTGGCTCCTGCAGACCCCATCCTCACATTCTCTTGGAGCAAGCTGGAGTCAGCCTGTGAGAGCCAGTTTTTAGCTTCCCTTCCCAACTCTGTACCTTCATGATGTCATGTTGATAACTTATCAGTTAGCTACATTGGGACATCAATAGGGACATTACACCACACAACTGGCAAACGATACAAGTCAGGGCTACTTCTAGTGGACAGTCCATTGATCTAGCACATGAGGGCATTGAGAGATGTCGAGACCTTCTGAGGCCCACTATGGTGACACTTGGAGATGAGAGTAACATGGCCTTCCAATAGGAAGAGACATCCATTCTGGCTTATGGATCATACATCTTGGTGATCAGTGTGATCTTCATCAGGTCACTCCTCCTCTACAAGCACCATCTGTGAAATGGGAACACTAGCCTATCTCCTTCAAGGGACATTGCTGGGATTCAAATGGATGAGTCAATAGTAACTGTTGGGATGTGTCAATTACGGACAGAGCCCTCATGTACAAGTTTGAAGGGAGAGGCTATTTGGTTCTCTGGCCTCAGAAGCACCCATTAACTGCCTTCCTGGTCCTTGGGGCCACTCCCGTTGTCCTGTCCCTTCCCTCCACCGTCAGCACCAGGAAATGGTTTGATAATGTTGCAACAGAGGCCTTGTGTACACTCATGCCAGCATGGCTCTGGGGGTGGGGGCTGGAGGAGGACGTTTAGGTCCTAAATTGTGCTTAATAAATCCATATCAAAACCATAAACCTCAGGCTGCCATAAATTCCACCGACCTTGGCTCCTCCACCTCACCAGCCCTTTGCCCTGGTTCACCTCCATCCTCAGCATAGGCGGCCAGAGCCTTGCATTTGGTTTCTATTTTAGCTGCTAAACAACACCAGCTTAGGTGACAAATGGCAGCATCCTCATTTTAGAGATGGTGAAACTGATGTTGAGGAAACTGAAGAAACTGTCTGAAATCAAGGGCTAATGATGCGCTGGGTGGGAAACTCAGTGACAGGCAGCCTGATGAGCCAAGCAAGTCCCAGCTAGCATGAACGGCCTGTCACCCCAGCTTGATGGCGTTGCCCTACTTCCTCAGTTGCAGAGCCCAGATCACCTTTGATTGGCATTTCTCAAATTCGTGTATCCTATGTAAATCCCAAGCTGGAGTCTAAGAGACCAGTCTCAGGGTCCTGTGCAGCACTGTATGGAATGCTTCCTCTTCACCTAATATGCCTGACATAATGAAATTCCACAGCACTCCTCTAGGGCAGCTATTATTCTGTCATACAAAGAGGGAGCCGGCTCAGAAGGAGAAAGGACTCTTACCAAAGGTCCTTAGCTAGTGTAACAGCTGATCAGGTGTCCATTGTCTGACTCCAGAGGCCACCATGAGGGCACTGAGGAGCCATTGATGACTCAGACACTGTGCAGTGGGCACAGTAGGGAGAACACTAGAGAGTGGCAAAGGTCAATGGGCAAAGCCCCAGGATGAGGTATCCTGGGACTGCAGAGAAGCAACTGCACCAGGCACCTCCCTCCTTCCCGGAGCTCACTGTGTTCACAGAGGGAAAGGCCACACTAGCTTGCTATTAAGAACCAAGGAGTGCTAGTGAGGTGGAAGAAAGGGGAAATCGGGGCTGCCTGGGAAGGGAGTTGCATGCATGTTGAAGGAAAAGGATTCAGAGGCAATAATGAGGCAGAGAAAAGTGCACTCGGGGTGGAGGAGGGGAGGGACAGAACATTGGAGAGGTGGCCAGAAGTCTACAGATGGCAGGGAGGCCAGCGTTCCCCACCCCAGACTCAGTCAGGGCACATGCCACCTGGACTGTCTTCATCTCTTCTTAACCTTTTCCTTAATCAAATTCATAAGCCTTATCATTTATTTACTTATTTATTTACTTTTGTTTTTTGAGAGCGGGTCTCACTACGTAACCCTAGCTGGCTTGGTCCTCACTATGTAGATCAGGCTGGCCTTGATCTCACAGAGATCTACCTGCCTCTGCCTCCCAAGTGCTAGGGTTAAAATCACGGGCTACCACACCCAACATGGACATTTTCTTTAAACTCAAGGCCTTTGACATAAAAAGGAAAGCTGTATCAGCAAACACATTTCAAAGCTCTGCTTTTTTTTTTTTTCGGTATGTTTGCTTGTTTTGTTTCGGCTTTTGAAATAGGGTGTCACTATGTAACCCAGGCTGGCCTAAACTCTCAATCCTCCTGCATCAGAATTCCAAGTACTAGAATTATAGATGTGTCATAGATCAGAAGCTCTGTCCTCCCTCTCTCCCTCCCTCCCTCTCTCCTTCCCTCCCTCCTTTCCTCCCTCCCTCCCTGCTTTCAAAATAAAGTAGGAGAAAGGTAATTAACAAGTATCACAAAGATGCTAAAGATATCTCCTCACCCAAAGGAGACTTTTTCCTTGAAGTTTTCAGAGGACCTGAAAAGGTGCAGAATTGGGGACCGTGTCACCTAATACCGTTCTTATGTATCTGTAAAATCTCCCAGCATTCCCCTGAAGCCCCCATGCTACTTCCTGAAGCAGGCTTGCTGGTCTGCTCCCAGGTGGTGGGGCCTGAAATGCTAGCAAAGAAATCTGGAATCTCCTCGGGGTAAATGGGAAAGCACTGGCCAGCAGGGAAGGTTGAGGCCAGTGTGTGTCACTGTGGCTGCCCAGTGCAGGGTGATCTGGACTGGGCCCCACTACCGTGGACAGAATACAGTACTAAGAGTCCGTGCCTGCACCAAGATGGCTGCAGAGCAGGGGAGAGCAGTCTGCAAACATTCGGGGAGTGCTTCAGATGTGATGGACACCTTTTCTGAATCGTAGAGGTAGGGCCAGACACGGCAGACTTTCTAGATCCTTGGAAAGGTCTTGGAGTCTATTTGAGGTGCAGGAGCAAATAGAAATCCAGATTCTTAGGAGTTTATATAAGGATATGATAGGCTCCATTTAAGTTTTTCATTGGTTTGTTGGTTTGTTTTTGAGACGGAGGTCTCACTTTGCAGCCTGGAACTCTGCTGTATAGACCGGATTGGCCTGGGACTCACAGAGATCTGCCTGCCTCTGCCTTTCCCAAGTGCTGGGATTAAAGTCATTTGCCACCATGCCCTGCTCTTTTCCTCTTTTTAAAAAAATAGTTTATTGTTTTTATTTTATGTATATGAGTGTATTGTCTGCACGTGTGTAAGTGCACCTGTGTTGTGCAATGCCCTTGTAGGCCAGAAGAGGGTCTTGGATCCCTTGGAAGTAGTTACAAACAGTTGTTAGCCACCATGTGGGTCCTGGGAATCGAACCCAGGTCCTCTGCAAGAACAACCAGTGCTCTTAACTGCTGAGCCATCTCTCTTTCTTGGTGGGGTGTGTGTGTGCATGTGTGTATGTGTGAGATTTGGGGAATCAGTTCTCTCCTTCCACCACATGGGTTCCAAGGATTGAACTCAGGTTATCAATCTTGGTGGCAAGCACCTCTACCAGCTGAGCCATCTTGCTGCCCCCCTCACCCCTGACCCCTGCTTTTAGATCTTAAATAGACTCAGGCTGGCCTCAAACTTGCTATGTAGCTAAGGATGTCTTAGAATTTCTGATCCTCCTGCCTATAGTTCCAGAGTGCTGGGATTACAGGCATATGCAAGCAGGCCCAGTTTTATGCAGGTTTGGGAATCTAACCCAGGACTGAACATGCTAGGCAAGCACTCTACTAACTGAGGTACATTCCCAGCCCCTGCTTCTTGTGCTTAAAGGACCCCTGTACTGTGGAGAGAATGGGCTGTGAGACACAGCATGGAAGCGGTGGGCTTGACAGTGGTACAGGTGAGGGACAGGTGCATGATCTGGGATTAGGGAGCAGGCAGAATTCTAAAACAGACCACCCCCCTCCAGATTCCTGCCCCAATACATCTACAGTTCCCATTCTTCAATCAGTTGAACTTCTCATTTACCTCTTGCAAGAAGATTTAACATTTTAAAATTACATTTGACCTATTTATTTTGTGTATGTTTCTGTTTTGGGGAGAGGGGAGTACCTGTACACACTGTGACATGCATTTGGAGGTCAGAGAACAACTTGCAGGATTCTGTTCTCTCCTTCACCAGGTGGGTCCAGGGGCTAGAACTCAGGTCATCAAGGTGGTGTCTGTGTGCTTTTTACCCACTGAGCTATCTCTTCGGCCCTACTATAAGTTGTTTTTAAAGATTTATTTTTAGTGTTTAATTTTTAATTGTGTGTGTTTGTGTCTGTGTGTGTCTGTGTGCAAGTGAGTGCAGGTGACCGTGGAGGCCAGAAGCATAGGATCCTCCTGGAGCTGGAGTTATATAGGTGGTGAGCTGCCCAACACAGGTGCCCAGAATCAAACTCTGTTCCTCTGCAAGAAATGTGTTCTTTTTTAAAAAAAAATTTTATTTATTATTTTTATTTTATGTGTATGCATGTATTGCCTGCATGTAGGTAAGTGCATCCGTGTTGTGTAATGCCTGTGGAGGACAGAAGAGGCTGTCGGATCCCCTGGGACTGGAGTTACGGACAGTTGTTAGCTGCCATGTGGATGCTGGGATTCTAACCCAGGTCTTCTGCAAGAACAACCAGTGTTCTTAACCACTAAGCCATCTCTCCAGCCCCAAGAAATGTGTTTTTGTTTTTTTTTAAAAAAGAATTTATTAGCCAGGCATGGTGGTGTATGCCTTTAATTCTGCAGAGGCAGGAGGATCTCTGTGAGTTCGAGGCCAGCCTGCACACATAGTGAGTTCCAGGCTACTGGTGCTACAGGGCGACTCTGTCTCAAAAAGACAAAAAAATTATCAATTATTAATTTTATATGTGTGAGTGTATTGCCTGCATGTATGTAAGTGCACCCATGTTGTGCAATGCTCCCAGAGGTTAGAAGAGGGTGTCAAATTCTGCTGGAACTGGAGTTACAAATGGTTGTTAGCCACCATGTAGTTTCTGGAAATGGAACTGAGCCATTTCTTTACCACTGAGCCATTTCTCTAGCCCCGCTGATGTATTCTTAGCTGCTGAGCCATCTCTCTAAGCCCCCGCAACCCCCATGAGGAGTTTTACAGGCTTAATTAAAATCCCAAACCATCTGACTTCTCTTTAGTGGACTGGCCTCATCAGTGAACCCTTAAAGGACACTGGGCACTTTCTGGCATATTAAATTAGAAGTGTGGGAGAGTCCATGTGAGGGGAGTTTGTTCTTTACTTTTATGATGAAGAGCCTCTATGGCAGAATGTGGACGGCCTCTGGAAGCTGACAGTAACCCCTGGCAGACAAGCAGCTAGGAAACGGCAACCTCAGTCCTACAACCACGAGGAGCTGAGTTCAGCCAGCCACATAAGTGAGCTTCTCTAGAACTTTAGGGTAGGAATGCAGCCAACTGGCCGCTGGATTCAAGACACAGTCAAGTCAATGCTGCAAGTTAGAGCTAACCAAGGGGCGTTTTAAGCAAATTCCTTTGGAATTTTCAATAGAGAAGAAATACAGGCAGCAGTGAGAGAAGATCACGTTGGGATATTTAGGGAGAATGGTCAAGAACTTGCTACCAAGGATGATGAGAAATAATCCCAGGAAAGGTGGTACCCTTGGATGACATGAGGAAGACCGAACAAGCCGCCAGCATGAGTTGAGCTTTGTATGTGTCACTAGACATGCCACTGAAACATCCACAGGAACACTGACTATGACACAGAGTCGGGGAGGGGGGGGCGGGGGGGGCTGGAGATGGAGAGTCTAAATCCAGTAGGATATGGCAATGCTCCTGTAACCGAGCACTCTGGAAGTTGAGGCGGTGGATTGGTGAATTGAGAATTCCAGACCACTCTGGGGTAGAGTGAGAAAACCCTGCCTCAAACTGACGAGAGAGAGAGAGAGAGAGACAGAGACAGAGAGACAGAGAGACAGAGACAGAGAGAGAAAGTTGCCAGTGCAAATTATATATCTTACATGTATCATGTTGAGGGAAACAGGCAGGCTCAGCATACTGCCTCTCCTGAGATTTCATCTATAAGATGTTCTAGAAAAAGCAAAATTATAGGGGCAGCCACAGTTGTCAGATGCTAGGGCTGGGCTGGGCAAGGAAAGGGGTGCCTAAAAGGAAGAGGCACAGGGGATGGGTTTGGAAATGTTCTGTGACATCTTGACTGGATGTGAATACAAGACTGTAAACATTTGCCAAAACTTCCAGAACTCACACTTTATAAGAAGAGTACCTTTTAATGAATGAAAGGAGTTGGGGGAGCCCAATATTGGCTTGAGCTCAATTAAACTGTCTAGATAAGAAGGAGGTGAGAAGTGAGGACTTCACCCTAGGCCAAACCACAGAGAGGCTGGGAAGAGAAAGAGGACCCAGGAAAGTAAACTACAAACAGGAAGAAAGCCCATGGTGACGGTGAAGAAAAAGGCTTCAAGCTTCTTTGCCATGGGCCTATTGTGTGATATGTGTGCTCCATACCTGCTTCTACAGGGTGACCTCAGGGAGGCTGTGGGGAGGTTAAATGAACTCTCCTTGTTATGCAGAGGAAGGGAAACCACTTGCCCTGGATTCATAGGTAGCATAATGTGGCACAGGGAGAAAATTCATTCCAGTGTGTCCACACACATCCCAAATAAGTGTTGAATGAATATGAGAATGCGTGAATGAGTGAACAAGTGATTGTCACAATACTCCAGGGGCTGAGACCTCAGTACATGCAAACTGAGGACATGAGAACGTGGTATTTTTAGAGAAGTGGGCCCATAAAACTTGTTCCATTCCCAGACTTGGCAACACCCAGTCCCTCCTCCTGGGCTCCGAGATTGCGCCCGGCCTTGGGAAGGGCTCCCCAGCCTTATCTTGGGGAGAGTGAAACTGTAAAACTCTTTATGGCTTTGAGATCACGTCTGGCAGGGGCAGCGATTGTCGCCATAAACTGGAGCTGGCCCTGTGATGAGGGCGATGCCCTGGGTTGCAAGGAGTCAGGGGACAGTTGAGTAAGCTAAGGGAGTGGCCATTGCTGAACTGGGCATTTGGGGACGCTCACAGGCTTAGCTCACACTGACCCTGGACAGATGCAGTGATTATGATATTTTTAAAGTTCACCATGCCTCTTTTCACGCTCCAATGTCTCTGATGCTAGGATGTGTCTCTAAATCAATGGTGTCCCACACTGGCTTTTGGTTGGTCAGGTGACGGCTGTGGCCTGGTTGGTTCTGGTCATCAGTTCTTGTGCTATGACTGGACAACTGCAACTCTTCTGTTTCATCACAAATGACTTTAGGGCCATTTGAGGAAAGGACAGGAACCCTGGCAGTTTCCTGAAACCTTCCGTTGACACCTTCTGATAAGAGCAAGGGAGCACCTGTGGCGGTAACAGCGGTGGGAGATCTGAAGGCCGCAGAACGAGCAGACCTTCCAGAAATGCTCTGTGATGGAGGTGACAGAGGCTTCCACCAGAGTGAACAATGACTCTGAGTGAAAAGTAAGATAATGAAGCCTCTGAGAGGAAAAGTGACCAGATGGGCTGGGCCCTGGCTGTAGAGACATTTCTTAATATCTATGTTTTGCTTGTATTTTCCTTTTTCTTTTCTTCTCACGCAGCTCAGACTCATCTCCAACTCACCACGTAGCTAAGGGCGGCCTTGAACTTCTCCTCCTCCACCTCCCAAGTGCTGTGATTACAGGTGTGTTTCACCCTTCCTGGTTTTATGTGGTGCTGAGGATCGAACCTGGTGCCTTCTGCATGCTAGGCAAGCACTCTACCAACTGAGCCATAGCCTAGTATTTCTCTTTTTCTGAACACAGGAGAGGTACATGGATCAACGGGAAGCCTGGTATGGTTGTTTATGCTTATAATCTCAGCACCCGAGAGGTTGAGGCAGGAGGACCTCCAGTTGGAGGCCGGCCTCAGCTACATAGAGAGTGTGATGCCAGCCTAGCTTGATTCATAGTCAGAACAAACTTGATTATGTCAAAACAAACAAACAAAGTTTAAAAAAGAAAGAAATGTTTGTAAAGATGGCTGGGAGTGTAGCTCAGTAGTCACACATGTGCTTAACATGTTCAAGGTCCTGGATTCAGTTTCAAGTACAAAACAAAAAAAAATTCAGAAAGAACAAAGACCTAAAAATTTCATCTTTAAGAGGTTTTTTTTGGGGGGGGGAGTGGGGAATATTGCTTTTGGATTTCTAGTTGTTGCTGGGCTGGCAAGATGGCTCAGCAGGTAAAGGCACTTGCCACCAAGCCTGATGACATGAGCTCAATCCCAGGGACCCACACGGTAGAAGAAGAGAACTGACTCTTGAAAGTTACCCTCTGCCCCCCATGCTCACACAGTGGCACATATACCAATACATCAATAAAGACAATCAAAATTGTTTAATTAAGGAGTTCCTTTTAGGGGTTGACTAGACCTGGCCGCACAACCCAGTCTGGACCCAAACTCAGACTCCTCCTGCCTCGGCCTCCTGAGTGCTGAGATTATAGTTGTGCATAGCTACATCCAGCTCCAAAAGTTCTTTTAACAAATATAAACTTAAGAATTGGAATGACAAGAAGGTACAACATCATGTAATTGGCAACGCTTTCCTCCCACGAGGCTCATAAAATGGCAGTCCTCCTCACAATCAAAGCATCTTAGCTCGGCCTCCTCTGGCTTCCCGAGGGCAAAGGTCAGATGAGTGACCGAGTTGGGCTCTCTGAATGTTAGCCCTCAGGCTGTGCCTTGATCAAGGTCTTGCCTAGCTAGACTCACCATTGTGAGGCATTCTAGTGAGGCATTCTAGTAAGTGATGAACTGCCCTGTTGTTCAGGATTCCAGCAGGGGAGGGTTTGTAGGATGCCCAATGGACCAGCACCCTGTGTCCCACTGTCCAGTTTGGCTAAGCCTGCCCCAGCATACACTGTCTCATGGTCTTCATCTTCTTCCCAGGCCCCTGGCTTGGTGTGTGTGCCAGCACTGCCCACCTTTCATGAACTGGTCTTAGGCCAAGCAGATGGGACTAGGTTGTTACCTTATGTGGAAAGCAAGACTTAAAGAGGTTGCCTGACTGACTGTCTTATACTTCCAGGTTAGGCAGAGGCCACAAAGGGTCTAGAATCCACATTTCTTTCCCTCAAAGTTCTTGGATCCAAAAGAATAAGCAGGACAGGAAGAGCAAGGGACTCAAAGTGAGTGAAAAGAGTGGGCTTCCTACTTTCAGGATTGCTGAGGCCTGAACCCATGTGCAGCCAAGCGAAGATGGCAAACGTCTTTACCTAGATCTTGACAAGACCATACAGTTCTGGGACGGCTGCACTTAGGGGAACAGCAGGGGCCCCTAAACTAGAACAAGCCTACCCACCCTACCACACCTGCCCTAGCACACCCTACTTCTCCCTGCCTAAATCTCTCCAGGGGCTCCCTTTAATCTTGAAAGAAAACTCAGACTCAGCTGTGCTCCATGATTTACTCCTGTAATTGCACAACGTGGGAGCCTGAGACAGGAGGATCATGAGTTGGAGGCCAGCCTTGGCTAGATGGCAAAACCCAGGCTCAAAACAAACAAGCAAAAACATCTCTCAGGGACTGACGAGATTGCTCAGTAGGTGGGGGGCACTTGCCACTGAGGTTGGCGTCCTGAGTTCCATCCTTGGGACCCACATGGTGGATCCAGAAGTCAAGTTGTCCTCTGACCTCCACATGGGTGCTGTAGCACACACACACATACACACACACACACACACACACACACACACACAGAGAGAGACAAATGACACAAATATATATATTTTAACATTTCTCAGATTCCTACCTGGGCCCTGAGGCACCCATAACCTGGCTCCTGACCCTTCCTGTTATCTCCTTATGCTTGGTCATCTCCTTATGATCTCTCCACCCCAGACCTGTGGATTCCTTCCTGTGTGTCTGAGGGTTCCCATTTCACAGCCTCTTTCCTCTTAGTCCCTTTGTCTGGGACACCCTTCCCTCTGATCTTCCCATGGTTACTTCCTCTTACACATTTGGCTCTTTGTTCCAATGTGGTCTCTTGAAGAAGCCTTCTGAAAATACAGCTACATGTACATGATTCTGAGAGCTCAGTGATCTCTGCTGCAACAGTTTAAATCTATCCCTACTGCATGCAAGGGCCCTAAGCTATCTGAAAGGAACAGGCGTGGCTGAGGACTAAGCAAACTTCACCAGAACGCAAGCAGCAGGCTGGACTTGGCTTGAGATCTTAGCATAGCAGCCCTACTCTAACTTACCTTGTTTGAGTTTCTTCATTGCCCTTAAAACTTCCAAAAGCATCTCTGTATTTGCTTATCAGCTTATTGTCGTCTTCTCCCCCTTCCTTCCTAGAGTGGTAACTCCACAGGAACAGGAACTAAATGCTGCTGTGGTAGCCAGCCCCCACGGTGGTCCCCCAAGAACCCTCATTTTCTGATATTCACACCATAGCATAGTCATCCCAAACAGGCTGCCTGCATGACCACTGCATATTGTGTAAGTGATGGAGTGCGACCTCTGAGGCATGGTGCTTTCCATCTCGCTTTCTTAGGTGCCTTGCTCTGGGACAGCCAGCATCCAAGATGAAGACACTAAGGGATCCAAAGAGGTGCACTGAGGCTTGTTGCCAATAGGCAGCGACATGAATGAGCTGTGCTAGAAATGGATTGTCCAGTCCATCAAGACTGCAGGTGACCATGGTCCCAGGGACTGTTTTCCCTGAAGCCTGGTGAGAGACTGAAATCAAGACCCACTCACCTGGGGTTGGGGAGAAGGCTCAGTGGGTAAAAGTACTTGCCTTTAAGCCTGATGAGTTCAGTCCCCAGGACCCACATGGTGGGACAAAAGAGCTGACTCTCACAAGCTGTCCTCTGACTTCCATATGCCCACTGTGTCATGTGCACACACACACACAATAAATAATTTTAAAAAAAAAAGATTTATTAGCTGGGCATGGTGGTGAATAGCTTAAACCCCAGCACTTGGGAGGCAGAGGCAGGCAGATCTCTATGTGATCAAGGCCAGCCTGGTCTAGGTAGTAAGTTCCAGGTCAGCTGTGACTACAGGGAGACCCTGTCTCTAAAAGACCAGAAAAAAAGTTTATCAAAGCATAATCTCAGCCAGGCGTGGTGGCTCACACTTTTAGTCCCAGCACTTAGGAGGCAGAAGCAGGTGGATCAAGCAGGTGAGTTCAAGGCCTGCCTGGTCTCCCTAGAGAGTTCCAGGTCAGCTGGAGCTACAGGGAGACCTTGTCTCAAAAGGACAAAAATAAATAATAAATAAATAAATAAAATAAAAAATATTTTTAAAAAACTTAAAGCTGGAGAGATGGCTCAGCAGTTAGGAGCACTGGCTCTGCTCTTCCAGAGAACCAGGGTTCAGTTCCCAGCACTCACATGGCAGCTAACAACCATCCTTAACTCCATTTCCAGGAGATTTGATGCCCTTTTCTGGCCTCCATAGATATTATATGCGCCTGGTGCATTTATGTACATGCAGGCAAAACATTATACACATAAAATAAAAATAAATTGAAATTTTTTTGAAAAAACCCTTACCTAAGCCTGAAGTCTAACACCTCAAAACATGAGATCATACATGTTTTAAGCCATGGTAATTAATCATGAAGTCACGGTTGCAGAGCATGACATTGATATATATTAATATTGGTCTTATATATGTTCAATTAATATTGATTAATAAATAAGTTGGTACTTTATAAATACAAGACATGTTATAAAAACATGAAAAACAAATGTGATGTAGCTATATGAATATATACGAATGTAGGGGTTGGATATAGCTCAGTGGGAGGAATGAGATATTTAGATTTTGCCTGGGGCTGGAGAGCTGGCTTAGCAGTTAAGACCACATGGTGGCTAACAATCATCAGTAACTTCAGTTCCAGGGGACTGATGCCCTCTTCTGACCTCTGTGGGCATTGCACACAGGGGTATACTTATGGAACCCAGGTTCTCTACAAGAGCAGCCGGTGCTCTTAGCCACTGAGCCGTCTCTCCAGCCTCTCAATGACTGTTCTCTGTTGTAGCACAGTGTTGGGAGCCAGGGATTCAGAAGGGAGATGGCCCGGTTTCTCCCTCCTGTGGCTGGTGAGCTGATGCGGATCTGGACAGGCACATGTATGCCCACAGGATGCACAGTGAGTGTTGGTTTGTGGCCTGAGCACAGGGACTGCCATGGGGTGGGGGAAGGAAATAAGCAGACAGAAGAGAAGCCCTTCAGGAAGGAGTGGGTAGCCAGGGTCAGGGGTGAGAGGAAAACCTACTTTCCTTTCGATGGCCTTTTGGCCCATTTGGATGTTTACTTTTCACCAAGTGTACACAGCAGAGTCAATCAATGGAACAAACAATCACGGTTAAATAAACGATTCAGAGAGCAGGTGCTTTTGTAACTCCAAAAATGCTGCCTGCTGTTCCATGTGGTGAAATGCCCATTTCCCAGTGTCTTGGGCCATTTTCTGTTGCTATAATAAAATACTTGCGATTTGGTGATCTATAAAGTAAAGAGATATGTTTAGCACATGAGTCTAAAGGCAGGGGAGTTCAAGAACATGGTGCCAGCATGTGGTAAGGACCTTTGGGCTGTATCAGAGCAAGGTAGAGGGCATTACATGATGAGAAAGACCAGTGGTGCTCTATAGAGCTTGGTTTTATAACAAAGCCACTTCTGTGATAACCCGTTACCCTATAAATCCACAAACAGGTGACCTCCATTCAACCATCCCAAGAGGTTCCACCTCTTAAGACTGCTGTGTTGGGAACCACATTTCCAACACATACAAAATTTGGGAGACAAAATGAAACCCTGCCTCCCTGTGCCTTACTTCTTCCCAGCACCTCCACATGTGCCCCATCTGATCTGCATCAGTCTCCTCCTCCTGGGGTTCCAGGAGGCTTCTGGGCCTTCTGACTCTTTTGTTGCATTCTGCAAAAGGAAGAACCGACTGAGATGAAAAGAGGGAGTGAAATGCTTAGATTTTGCCTTGGGGCTGGAGAGCTGGCTTAGCAGTTAAGAGCATTGGCTGCTCTTGCAGAGAACCTGAGTTTGATTCCCAGAACCCACAAGGTGGCTAACAATCATCAGTAACTTCAGTTCCACGGAATCTGATGCCCTCTTCTGACCTCTGTGGGCAGTGCACACAGGTGTGTACTTACATACATGCAAAACACTCATACATGTAATTTTTTAAAATTAAAATACATTTTGTGTTACTTTCAGCCAAGGCTACATCTCCCCATGGTCTCTGCTTCTGTCTTGGCCTCACTTTTGCTCTTCCAGGTACTCCTGGGTCAGCACCACATCTTTGTGCTGCATTCTTCAGGCCTTGAGATGCTCACAGCTGTTGCTGTGGTGCATGTGCCTATGTGTGCACATGGGGAGGCCAGGAAGGACATCAAATGTCCTGCTCTATTGTTCTATGCCTTACTCTTTGAGATAGGGTCTGTCACTAAACCTTCAGGCCTTGAGATGCTCACAGCTGTTGCTGGTCCTCCAGTGTCTCACCATTCTCTGGTGTCTCCCCTTTACCTTTCCCACCTCTCTGGAAGCACTCCATTAAATGCTTGTTCAGTGTTAGAGATGGAGGCCAAGGCCTCCCGCACGTTAGGCAGGTGCTCTACCACTGAGCTACATACCCAGCCCTGGAGAATGTTTTTGTGTCAAGACTGATAGAGGGGTATACCAGGCATCCAGTGGGTGGAGGCTAAAGACAGTACTAAGCATCTTTCCATACACAGCACCCACCACACAGAACAATCCAGTTCCAGATGTTGGTGATGTTGGGATTGATAAACTCATATAAAAGTCTTTGAGATTCCATCTGTTCCCTGCATGGACCCAAACAGCTTCTGGCTAGGCTTTTTGAATTCCCACTGCCCTTTCTTCACTGTGGTGGTGTGATGGTTAGCTCTAATTGTCAACTTGATGCAACCCAAATCACCTGGAAAGAGGGTCTCAGTGAGGGGTTGTCTACATTGGGTTGAACTGTGGACATGTTTGAGGGGGACTTTCTTCATTAAGTTCATTGATATGGAATACCCAGCCCACTGCGGCAGCACCATTCTCTGGGCAGACGTTCCTGAACTGTATATCACAGCGGAGAAGGCTAGTTGAGCATTGGGCTCACGCCTGCGTTTACCTCTGCTCTTGACTGAATGTGGCATGACCAGCAGCTTCAAGCTCCTGCTGCTGCAATTTCCCCAATGATGGGCCGTAATCTGGAACTGTGAGCTAAAATAAATGCTTTCTCTTCTAAATTGCTTTGTGTCAGGATATTTTATAACAGCAACAGAAATGAAAGTAGAGCGGGAGGTGTCCTCTAGCTTAACACGCCCCTTGGTATCCTCATAGTGGCACAGAGGTGAATAGGCCCAGCCTTTGCCCCTAGCCACTCACAGCACAGTGAGGAAGACTCCAGCGGGCAGGATCCCTCACAAGCACTGAGTTCTGGAGGGCAGGGTTGCTGTGCTGCTCCCAGGTGGCCCCAGTAGCAGAGGGTCAGCTGACATTTGCCAACTGAACCAATATAGCCTTCAAAGTCATGTTTAAAGCTAGATGTGGTGTTCCATGCCTGTAATCCCAGCACTCCTGAGATGGAGGCAAGAGGATTGAAAGACCAGTCTTGGCTACATAGTGAGTTCTAAGCCACCATGAGCTCCATGAGACCTTGTCTTAAAAAATGAGCAGGGTGTGGTGTTTAATCCCAGCACTCAGGAGGCAGAGGCAGGCAGATCTCTGTGAAATCAAGGTCAGCCTGGTCTACATAGTGAGTGCCAGGCCAGCTGGGGCTACAGGGAGACCCTCTCTCAAAAAAAATAAATAAATAAATAAAAGAGGGATTAAGGAGATGTTATAGTCGTAAAAGGACTTTCTGTGGAAACATGAGGAACTGAGTTCGAATCCCCAGCACCTACATAAAAAACAGTGGGCTGGGGGCTCACAGGGGCTTGTTGGTCAATAGCGCAGCTATAAGTTTAGTGACAGACCCTATCTCAAAGGAATAAGGTATAGAACAATAGAGCAGGACACCTGATGTCCTCCCTGGCCTCCCCATGTGTATACATAGGCACATGCACCACACACACACACACACACACACACACACACACACACCACATATGTATACACCACATACGTACATACACAAGTATATACACACAAAATTTAATTAATTAATTAAAATATGGGGAGGAAGTTACCCGACATAAATCTCTGGCCTTCACAAACATGAATACACAGGTGTAGACACATGGACATTCACACACATATGCACAAAAGTAAAGCAAAAAAAAATGTTAAAGGATGCCGGGTGTGGTGGCACACGCCTTTAATCCCAGCACTTGGGAGGCAGAGGCAGGTGGATCTCTGTGAGTTCGAGGCCAGCTTGGTCTACATAGTGAGTTCCAGGCCAGCTGGGGCTACAGGGAAACCCTGTTTCAAAAAGACCAAAAAAAAAAATATTAAAGGAAGGAAAGAAGGAAAGCTGATATATTTGTGAAACAGTATGCTGCTATGAAAAACCTAAACTAGGCACAAAAGTGCTCAGCCTCTGGCACTATAAAAACAGACAAAATTGTTTTGGTGTTAAAAGACAGAATTGTGTACTCTTGTGAGGAATAGTTAGTGATTGGAAGGCAGTGGAGGAGGCTTTGGGGCCCCTGTGTTGCTCATCTTTATCTAGGTGCCATTGATGACCCACTGAGTTGTGTACCTAAGCCTTCTACCTTTTGGGGGGGGGTCTCTTTGAGACAGGATCTCCCTGTGGCCCCAGCTGGCCTAGAACTTGCTATGTAGACCAGACTGGCTTGAACTCACAGAGATCTGCTTGCCTCTGCCTCCTGAGTGCTGGGACTAAAGGTGTGTGCCATCACATCTAGCTCAGCCTTCTACATTTTTGATGATGTACATTTCAAAACTGATGTAAGATTTTTTTTAAATGTACGTACACACAAACCATGAGCATTTGGAAATACTTTTTCGGCTGAAGCAGGACTGTGTTTGGCTACTCAAAAAGCAACATATTAGGTATACAGAAAGGAGTCGAGGACCATGGAGCAAATAAAGCCGGGCATGAACCTGCAGTGTATACCAGAACAGCTCGCACATCTCTGCTATTTTTTCACCTAACAATGTTGATGGTAAGATGCGTCTGGTCTGTTCTCTTTTACCTTTTACCCACATTTCTAGGTATCTGAAGTCATCACTTTTTTCCCCTCATGGTACTAGGGGTTGAACCCAGGACCTTGGAAATGCTAGGAAAGTTCTCTACCACTGAGCTCCATCCCCAGCCCTCTTTATACCTTGGTATTTTGCTTGTTTATCTCATTAAGCTGCCCAAGCTGGGCTTGGACTCACTTGGTAGCCCAGGCAGGCCTTGAATTTGAGATCCTACTATCTCAGCCTTCCAAGTGCTGAAGTCACAGGTCTGCACCAAAGGACCTCTGATGCTGAACTCAGGCCTTCATTGTTTTTGTTTGATTTTGGCTCTGTTTGAGATTAGGTCTCTTGTAGCCTAGGCTGGCCTAGAAACTGATTTGTAGTGGAAGATGACCTTGAACTTCCCTTGCCTCCACCTCCTAGGTACTGGGATTACCGTTGTGCACCACCACTCCTGGTTCATGGAGTGCTGGGGATCAAACCCAAAACCTTGTGTGTTTTCTAGGTAAATGCTCTCAACCAACTGAGCTATATCCCAGCTCTGAACTGATAACTTTCTACACTTTTTTTTTGTCTGTTTGAGACAGGGTCTCCCTGTAGCCCCTGCTGGCCTAGAACTCACTAGGTAGGCCAGGCTAGCCTTGAACTCACAAAGATCCACCTGCCTTTGCCTCCTGAGTACTGGGATTGATGGTGTGTGCCACCAGGTCCAGCTATTTTGTACACATTTTATATATGTTAGGCTTTCATGGGAACCTTTCTTTCCATGGCAAAAAAAAAAAAAAACTATGAGAGGCTGATGGTTCTGAATTTGCCTTTTCAGAAGCAGACTGAAAGAGGCAGGATGCCTTGGAAGTGATTCCTGGGCACTGATGGGCACAGGAGACATCTACAGGATGTAGGAGTTTCTCAACAGGAGTTACTGCCTTATAAGAAAGTCTTCACTGCCAACCCTCTAGTCAAATCCTGCTCTGCCAAGTCACAATGAAGTACTTTAATCCAATAATCACACACACACCAGCAGGGACAAGGTGTCAGCGAGTGTGTGGCCAGGGAGGACCTCTCATCCCAAACGAATCTCTTCCCACCACCTCCCTTCCTCCCCTCTCCTGGTGCAGGTCCCCTCCCCACAGGAAGCCCATACTTGCCTCCCTCCTGTCCTCTGCCCCAGGTGAGCCTCAAATTCACACTCTCCAAGTCTTTATATAACACACAAATCACTCTCAGCCCCACTCCGCTTCACCAGGCTGGAGAATCACACCATGCCACACACAGAATAGCATCCTAACCCTGATACACACCTGTAATCCCAGCACTTGGGAAGCAGAGATGGGAGAATCTTTGCAAGTTCAAGTCCACCTTGGTCTACATAGCTAGTTCCAGGCCAGCCAGAGCTTCATAAGGAGACCCTGTCTCAAACTAAAACAATACTAGCATAAAAGCCCCTCACCCACTGTCCAACCATCTACCAGCCTGGTCACCCTCTCCCCGCTCCCCTTAGCACTGTGTGCAGCCTCAGGGCCTTTGCTCTTGCTGCTCCCTCTACCTGGACTCATCATTCTGCCACAGCTTCAAAACCATTGCTGCCTCTTGTGGCTCTGATGGCCCATGAAACCAGTTGCACAAGGTGCTGAACAGGAAGACAGCAAAGCTGTGTACGGATACTATATGCATATTCTAATTATCATAAATTATGAATTGTACCAAAAGTTTCCCCCTTGGTGAGGTTTGGCCCTTGAGTCCCCCAAAGGCTTGTATGCTGAAGGCTGAATTGCGATCGTGGGTCAGTATTTGGAGCTGGTGAGGACAACTTTAGGAGGTGGGGTAGTGGAAGGGAGCGATGTGGGAACCAAGAGACTGATGGGAATAGAGATGAGAGACCC